CTCTGGTGTGGGGTGGTGAACTTGTTTTAATATAAAATTTAAAAAAAATTAATTTATTTATTTTTCAAAACTCGAACAAATGCCCTTGCGCAATTTTTTGTGTTCGTAGTTTTCCGTTGCGCATCTTTCCGGTCACCAAAAACGATGTGTGTTAGTTATTATCCATAATACTATCCATAATTCAAGTGTAGCTTTTCTTCGCCCTAATATAGATTCATTAAGACTAGAGCCGAATTTACGTATAATTTAAATAAGTTATAGCTTAGGGCCCCTGCTGTCTTTGGGGGAGGGGGGGGGGGTTGTCTAGTTTAGCAAACTGTGGTGGGCAATTTGCCACCAAAGTAAATTTTTTAAACTTTTTTTTTTAAATTTCTTTTCTTTTTTCAAACCGCGGTGGAGGCCAATATCTATTTCTATTACAGTTAAGCACCCCTACACATTTTTTGTCGACAAACATATTTTACAAACAACATAATATATTTGGCATTGACATATAATATATGGTGTTGAGAGGGGGCCCATATCGAAAACAGCTTAAAGCATTATCAAGTTTAAATCCGCACCCGATTAAGACATTAATACAATGCAAGTTTTCCAAAAAAATACCAGACTGACAATTTTCTTTCAGCACAAAGGAAAATAATTATATTTCTCCAGAGAGAAAACGCGCCCTCTAGAATTATCTATTGTTTTAATTGCTCTAAATTCTAATCGGAACCGGCACAGTACAATAATTTAATCCTGCGCTGTAATTTTTAAAACCAGATACAAAACATTAACGTCACGGTTGGTTTTTCTTTAACTTATTCTACGCAGCGGTATTTGCATTGACTGGCGGAAACGTTACGTCAGCAGAAAGGGGGCGAAGTGCGTAAGAAAATCGTTACAAACTGCAGTTATTCCACCTGAGCAGTGAGTCACATCTGTAGTTGATCAAACAACGTTGTACAACCGATAATTATTTCCCCTCGATTACTATTGGCTTTTCCCGTACAGCCCTGGGCGACGACAGTATTTCTTTTTTACCAAGAACCAGCCTCTTTCCCCCCAGCACACAAGGCATTGCGAATACTAGCTTGATTTTTGTATACATTGTTGGGGAGTTTGGTTTATTATATAGGCCTAGGCCTGCTTGTTCTCTAAACTCTAAAAGTCTAAGTAAGGGATAACAGTAAACTAAGCCGTCAAAAGAGACAGAGTTGCATCCCCTAATGATTATTTAAATCTATTTTTAATCCCAGTTTGCTTACATCATTTAATTACTATTTATAAACTTTATGAACAGTCCATGTCCTAGAAACTGTGTAAAACAAAAAAATTTAAACCTTATAAATAAAATTAAAAAAAAATAAAAAACGTAGGAGGACTGCTATAGATAAAGTTTTGTTTGAAAGGGAAGAACATTTGATTTGATGCCCGTCTCATTTTACTCTACATATCATTCTCACTGCTTAAATATTATATTATTTTCATCAAATACCACATTTATTTCAGCTCTAGTTATAAGCCACTCAACCCACACCACCAAAAAATGCTCTTCAATTTTAATTTTATTTTTTTTCCACAGAACATTGCATTGCCAGTTAATTAAACATTTAAATGTAAATGAAAACTAATACTAAAGCCAATATGGCAAGGCAAACCAACAGCTTAAATAACTTGTCTGAAGCAAAAAAATTGAAAATAAGCTATAAATGTAGGCTAATGTTTGTCAACAGTGTTACAAAAAAATTAAAACTTGTGTTTGTAAGCACAAAAAATGTACTCAGTATTCTTGAGTGCAATAAACTTTCTTTTATTTCTTTTGTCATAAAAAATTTTCTCTTAAGCATAAAACATTTTTCAATGAAGCTACACAAAAAACATATTAAAGTATAGAAAAAACATATCAGTCTTAAAGCAGTCCATTATTTAAAAACTTTCCTTCTTTAATTTTTAATGAAAAAGAGCTGTTCAAATATTTCATCTAATGAAAAAACTATATTTAAATGTGTGCCAGTAAGCAGCTAATCCTATACAAAGACAGACAAGCAAACAATACCTGTAGTTGTATCATATTCAACACATTAACTAAAAAAAGCTTTTGTTTATTTTCTTTGATCCATAAAATAATGCCAACACAATGAAAACCAATTATATTTTTTTTAAATTTTAACACAGTTTCATCTATATCTATATTTATTTTTAAATAACTCAAGTGTTTAAATGTTTTTAACTATTAAGTAATGCACTGACATTCCTGCTATTTCTATGACAAGCCAAATTCAGAATTTTAAAAAAGTTTTGGTCAGTTTGGATGTAGTGAAACTGTTGCGTCTCCTTCCCTAACATCCCCAACTAGTTCAAACAGTCAAAAATAATAAAATCAAACAGATAACACAGTGACCTTTGACCTAAGCAAAACATCAGAACCAATTCATAACAAAACAAAACTACATAATTACGTGGTATGGCTAATAAATCAATACCAAAAAGTGTTACCACAAACATTCGTATGGAATAAAACATGGTTCAAGTAAGTTTCTAGAGCAGACGTCAAAGCAAAAGTGTAAAATAATGAGACAAGTCCACTGGACGGAATGTTCACTTTGGATTGGTCAAATAAATATTGTATAAACAATTATTAATAATGGAATTAATATACGTTAATATAACACCAAAAAACTACTTATATGTAAATAAACTTAGAAAATAATATAAAATAGTTTATTTAAACTAAGATACATCAATATTAATACAGAAAGCAAACAGGACAAAATATGCTTATTTATTTTTGCGCTGTTCATTACTAAATATAATGCTAAATTTAATTACTCTAAATAAAAAGTTTTTTAAAAATTTGCCACTTTAAAAAAAATGCTTGCTAGTTAAATTATCACAGTTGAATCAAGTCATATAAAATTTAACCAAAACCAAATCACATTTCATGTTTTTCACGTAACTGTGCAGCAGAAATTGATTTGAACAAATATTTGTTATTCAATCCTGAGTTATCAATCACAAGCACAGATAACAATCAAATTATTTATTTATTTCAACATTGTTTTAAAGCTTTGGCCTGGACACGCATCTTTGCATGAATTGGCACCAACTGGTTGCCACTATTTTATTACTATGTGTTTTAAACAAGTTCAAAGGTATTATCCAAAAGCTATAACTAAGGCAAAAAATTTAAAAGTAAGCCTAGTTTAAAATTTAATAAAACGCTTTAGTTAAGCTTATGCTAAAAAAACATTACTGCAATGTTCAATTAAATTACATTAAAATATTCATTGACCATCTAGAACTAAATAAAAATTACTATTGAAGAAAAACTGATAACAATAGAAAATTTCCATCACATAGTAGACTAGATGTACAAAAAATTGTAATACAAACGTCATTAAAAAATATTAATACATTAAAATATTTGATTTAAACAGCTAAATCAACTGTTGCTCTTAAAAAAATGTGCTTGAATTAAAAAAATATAAAAACAGCTACTTTAAAATATCACAGTGAGGCTATGTATCTACGAGAATATACAATAAATAGCTTATAGCAAAGATGATTAGAAGTCTGCTTCGATGCTTCGTATCTTTAAAGCCAGTGGTTGTGTATTTACAATTATCTTAGATTTTTATGATTCATCTTAAAGGTAACATTATTCATGATCAATGAAACTAAATGAATTATATTTTTTTAACATTTCTATCCAGCGGCTAATGTAAAAAGCTCCACATTTTATTTTACTAATTATATCAGACATTAAAAAAATAAAATTTCGACAGTTGCATTATGTTCACAAGGCACAAGCACATTTTAATAGACAAACCACTGAAAATAGAACCATCCCATATTGATGTATCACTTTTGTGCAACATCCCCCATCTCACATGAACCATCCCTTATTAATGTATCACTTTTGTGCAACATCCCCCATCTCACATGAACCATCCCTTATTAATGTATCACTTTTGTGCAACATTCCCCATCTCACATGAACCATCCCATATTAATGTATCACTTTTGTGCAACATCCCCCATCTCACATGAACTGGTGCAGATAACAAAAAAACTGATAAACAGCAAGTGCTTCAAGTATTTCTAGCAGTCACACCTTAAGTGCTTCAAGTATTTCTAGCAGTCACACCTTAAGTGCTTCAAGTATTTCTAGCAGTCACACCTTAAGTGCTTCAAGTATTTCTAGCAGTCACACCTTAAGTGCTTCAAGTATTTCTAGCAGTCACACCTTAAGTGCTTCAAGTATTTCTAGCAGTCACACCTTAAGTGCTTCAAGTATTTCTAGCAGTCACACCTTAAGTGCTTCAAGTATTTCTAGCAGTCACACCTTAAGTGCTTCAAGTATTTCTAGCAGTCACACCTTAAGTGCTTCAAGTATTTCTAGCAGTCACACCTTAAGTGCTTCAAGTATTTCTAGCAGTCACACCTTAAGTGCTTCAAGTATTTCTAGCAGTCACACCTTAAGTGCTTCAAGTATTTCTAGCAGTCACACCTTAAGTGCTTCAAGTATTTCTAGCACTCACACCTTAAGTGCTTCAAGTATTTCTAGCAGTCACACCTTAAGTGCTTCAAGTATTTCTAGCAGTCACACCTTAAGTGCTTCAAGTATTTCTAGCAGTCACACCTTAAGTGCTTCAAGTATTTCTAGCAGTCACACCTTAAGTGCTTCAAGTATTTCTAGCAGTCACACCTTAAGTGCTTCAAGTATTTCTAGCAGTCACACCTTAAGTGCTTCAAGTATTTCTAGCACTCACACCTTAAGTGCTTCAAGTATTTCTAGCAGTCACACCTTAAGTGCTTCAAGTATTTCTAGCAGTCACACCTTAAGTGCTTCAAGTATTTCTAGCAGTCACACCTTAAGTGCTTCAAGTATTTCTAGCAGTCACACCTTAAGTGCTTCAAGTATTTCTAGCAGTCACACCTTAAGTGCTTCAAGTATTTCTAGCACTCACACCTTAAGTGCTTCAAGTATTTCTAGCAGTCACACCTTAAGTGCTTCAAGTATTTCTAGCAGTCACACCTTAAGTGCTTCAAGTATTTCTAGCAGTCACACCTTAAGTGCTTCAAGTATTTCTAGCAGTCACACCTTAAGTGCTTCAAGTATTTCTAGCAGTCACACCTTAAGTGCTTCAAGTATTTCTAGCAGTCACACCTTAAGTGCTTCAAGTATTTCTAGCAGTCACACCTTAAGTGCTTCAAGTATTTCTAGCAGTCACACCTTAAGTGCTTCAAGTATTTCTAGCAGTCACACCTTAAGTGCTTCAAGTATTTCTAGCAGTCACACCTTAAGTGCTTCAAGTATTTCTAGCAGTCACACCTTAAGTGCTTCAAGTATTTCTAGCTGTCACACCTTAAGGTCAAAGAGAATACTAACATTAAATATTTTTTAAAATACATTTGCAGAGCCCTAGAAGCATACATGATGTTTAAAAGTGTATTTTGGATAATAAGTTCAGTTCAAAAACTGTCCAGTTCAATCCAGTCCATCTTTGTCAACACCTAACAGCTTTGAAAGTAAGTTCAGTACAAAAACTGTCCAGTTCAATCCAGTCCATCTTTGTCAACAGCTAAATGCTTTTTAGATTTATATATTTTTTAACATAGTGTTGAATTTATGTTGAACATAGATTTCAGAACAGTTTTATCAAGAAAATGATATAAATGATAACAAGTGTGTCAAGAAGTTTTGTTGATAAACCAACATCTGGTCATGAGCTGTTTAGCACAGTTCACAGAATAAAGATGTTGCTCATATAGTTAATATACTCTTATATACACTATTTAAAAAATCCGATGGTGATGTGGTTGATTAATTAGGAGTTCTAGGTCTGTTTTTTCTACCGGATGATGCACTTCTGCCAGGGGGTCTGGGGTTGTGTCGAGGGCTTGATGATGGTACACTGGACCGCGTCTTTGGTAGTGGAGGCTTAGCACTGGTCAGGATCATGGACGAGCTCTTGTCCTAAAGAAGTTAACAAAATTTAAAGTTGACTTTATCACAACAATCAGATTTAGACTATTTTATTTTTAGACTTGGCTTCTAGAAAAAAATCAATATGATCATGTAAGTAACTGTTAATGTAACCTTAATATTGCTTTTAAAAAAATAATAGGTAAATAACATACATTAAGTGAAATATGATGTAACTAGAAAAATGTTTGTGAGTAAAATTAAAATTAAAAACTTATGTAGAAATAAATGGATATGAAAATACCTTATATTTTTTAAAATCTATTTAAAAGATTATTTCTTTTACTCTGGTTCACTTGTGTATTATTAAAAAAGCTAGACATTATAAAAAAATTTAAATGTGGCTTAGCAAAAGAAGTGGATCAATCTGACTACAAAGTTGTGAATTGAATTGATTTAAAGCAGCCCAGACATATGCTTGTCACTACTGGTCTACACGCCAGAAAACTAACATCCATACACAAGAATATAATAGACATGCACTAGAACAACAGAAGAATTTCCTTTATAAATGACTACATACATGCTGATTGTATACACAGTGAATAGCTGTCTACTTTACTAAAGCCTCCACCCCAGAAAGAAACAGCTTGGCCAAGGTAAAATAAAGACATTTTTTTTTCACTTGTCTCGTGATGTTTTAGTTTTCTGTTATCTTTCATTACTATCTTGGTTGGCAAACTACTTTTGCCTGATAAATGTCACTAAAAAGTATTATTTACTTTGAAGCAATTTCATTCTTAATGGTGTAGTAATACAAAAAAGTGATTCCTGCATTAGATAATGAAAGCCATTTACATCAAAATCAGCTATGTTGACATAAATAAGCACTGAATAAAATGTAACCCTACACTTATTAAATTTATAACAAAAATTGTATAAGAATATGAAAAAAAATAATTTTATAAACCAAATATATTTTCATGGTATAAAAAGTCCAACTGAAGTTGTTATTTTTTAAAGCACTATAAGGAGGAACAGCTGTAGATTTCATAAGCCAGAGAGTGAGGCAGAAATTTCCTGCCAAATATTTTTTTACAACTGTTCCTCATGTCAAATAAATTCATGCACAACAGAATGCTACAGTTGGAAGAGATTCAAGTAGAGATCTGCCTTACCCGCAGGGTGAAGGATGGGAAGGTTGGGCTGGAAAAAATGGAAACAGCAGTACAAAATCTAGCTACCAAGGTGGTTTTTTAATGCACAAACTAGATGCTGCACACGTTACTTTAGTAGGTGGTTTAGTAGCATAAAGCTAAACTAGCTAGAAGAGAAATTAGTCACAAACTATACCAGCAGGCATTATGTGTTAACTGGATTATAATTACTTATTATTCAGAGCACATGCAGCATTAATACACCATGCTATAACATGGCTAACTAAATGTGTCTATGTATAGCTCAACTTATGACTAATTAAAAATTCCACAATTAATTATGAAACAATTTAAGTTGGTAAGATTTAGCCAACTGAGTCATATCCTTGACTGCAATACTACTGCAATACTACATTGCCAATGAAAAGTGTGTAGAAATGGGTTCTCAATCTTCCAAGCTCCAAACTTTAATAAGATCCACTTTCACTATTGATACTTTTATCTTGCTCTTTCTTCAAGTATTAAACTTTCAAGTTTTTTATTTATTTCAATGGAATGGTTAAATAAAATAATGAAACTTTCTACATGTAATTTCTAACATTTACAACTTTGTCAACTCAACTATTTTATTTACCTGTGGAACAGATTGGGTCAGTGCCTTGTTACCTCCCCTGGCTGCCCCTCTAAATGATGGGGGAGGGGGAATCAGTGGGTTGTCTTCCTCCTCCTCTGCTATAGACGTCTGCATCATGCTCTCCCCCTCATCCCCATCCTGAGCAGCAGGTTCTGGGGCAGGGTCTGCAAGTCTGTGACCAGGTCTAGCAGACTTCCCATCCCTCATATGGACAGCAAAGCCATTGACCACTGGAGGACTGGCCCCCTCTTCCTGGTTCTCATCCACATACCTGCTCAAACAATGAAACCATAGAAGGTGAATTCCATTATTTCCTGGCATAAATCTCTAGCAAACAAAGACAACAAGCAGACCCATAGAAGGTGTCTCCTTAAATCTCTAGACAACAATGACAAGCAGGACATAGAAGGTGTCTCCTTAAATCTCTAGACAACAATGACAAGCAGGACATAGAAGGTGTCTCCTTAAATCTCTAGCAAACAATGACAACGACCATAGAAGGTGTCTCCTTAAATCTCTAGCAAACAAAGACAACAAGCAGACCCATAGAAGGTGTCTCCTTAAATCTCTAGACAACAATGACAAGCAGGACATAGAAGGTGTCTCCTTAAATCTCTAGACAACAATGACAAGCAGGACATAGAAGGTGTCTCCTTAAATCTCTAGGATTTCCAAGAGTGAAGTGTATGCCATACAAACCTGGACTCTGACATGGCAGGAACTCCTTTAGAGGGTCTTGGGGGAAATGGAGCAGCAGAGTTGATCCTGCTTCCTGGGCTGCCCTGAGAGAGATTAGAACACATGCGCATGTAACAGCACTCAGAACACACGCACATGTAACAGCACTCAGAACACAACCACATGTAACAGCACTCAGGCACACCCACATGTAACAGCACTCAGGCACACCCACATGTAACAGCACTCAGAACACACGCACATGTAATAGCACTCAGAACACATGCGCAAGTTACAGCACTCAGGCACACCCACATGTAACAGCACTCAGAACACATTCGCATGTAACAGCACTCAGAACACATGCGCAAGTTACAGCACTCAGACACACTCACATGTAACAGCACTCAGAACACATGCGCAAGTTACAGCACTTAGACACACCCACATGTAACAGCACTCAGAACACATGCGCAAGTTACAGCACTTAGACACACCCACATGTAACAGCACTCAGGCACACCCACATGTAACAGCACTCAGAAAACATGCACATGTTACAGCACTCAGAACACAACCACATGTAACAGCACTCAGGCACACCCACATGTAACAGCACTCAGAAAACATGCACATGTTACAGCACTCAGAACACACGCACATGTAACAGCACTCAGGCACACCCACATGTAACTTTTAACACTCAGATACATTCACACTGTAACATTAACCATCTGTCTGACTCAACATTAAAATCCCCTGTGTGACTTACTTGCATGTGGGGGTGTAGCGGAGCAGCAAATCCCCTGGGTGGGGGTATGTCTGAAGGGTTTTCAGCTTTCTGGGGTGGGGACTTGGCATCTCTTTTGTCCTTGTCTTTCTTCTTTTTCTTCTTCTTCTTGTCCACCTGGTCAAACATGTCCAGATTTGGTGGCTTGGGTGCGTTCTGTAGGGGGGTCAGTGCAGGAGGGGGGATGCGCCGACCCTCTAACACACCTACATGCAAGAACATTCAGTTCATCTTTAGGATTTTATAGACTTTTTTTTTTTAAATAAACTATTCATGTTTTGGAATTATTTGAACTTAATTGTTCCATAAGAAAAAGCTTCACTGTATCAAGCCAATGGTGCCGCAATCTTTGTAGGATAAAAATTTTTTCTTCTTCATTCTGGGGGGGGGGGGGGGGGGGCTTCCTCCAACACAATTAAGTTGTACATGTTAACTTGTTATGCTCCATAAAGGCCGTTGGCTCCCACTTCAACCTGCCTTTCTTTCTGGATTTGGATTGGTTGGGAAGTTGAAGAGGGAAGGGGTTTGAAATTGTGACTCAAATGTAATGCTACTGATCATTACCTGAGGGAAGGGGTTTGAAGTTGTGACTCAAATGTAATACTACTAATTCATTACCTGAGGGAAGGGGTTTGAAGTTGTGACTCAAATGTAATGCTACTGATCATTACCTGAGGGAAGGGGTTTGAAGTTGTGACTCAAATGTAATGCTACTGATCATTACCTGAGGGAAGGGGTTTGAAGTTGTGACTCAAATGTAATGCTACTGATCATTACCTGAGGGAAGGGGTTTGAAATTGTGACAAATGTAATGCTACTGATCATTACCTGAGGGAAGGGGTTTAAAATTGTGACTCAAATGTAATGCTACTGATCATTACCTGAGGGAAGGGGTTTAAAATTGTGACTCAAATGTAATGCTACTGATCATTACCTGAGGGAAGGGGTTTAAAATTGTGACTCAAATGTAATGCTACTGATCATTACCTGAGGGAAGGGGTTTAAAATTGTGACTCAAATGTAATGCTACTGATCATTACCTGAGGGAAGGGGTTTAAAATTGTGACTCAAATGTAATGCTACTGATCATTACCTGAGGGAAGGGGTTTAAAATTGTGACTCAAATGTAATGCTACTGATCATTAACTGAGGGAAGGGGTTTAAAATTGTGACTCAAATGTAATGCTATTGATCATTACCTGAGGGAAGGGGTTTAAAATTGTGACTCAAATGTAATGCTACTGATCATTACCTGGAGGCTGGTTTCCCCCTGAACTGGGGCGCTCTCCCTGAGTGTGACCTTGACTTTTGCTGCTGTGCTGAGGCTCTGAACTCTGACTTGACAGGGGTGGGCTGGGGTCGCGACCCATGGGTGGCGTTGGTTCCCTGGGTTGTTGGGACTGTGGGGGTCCTGGGTTGCGAGAGGCAGACGGGGGCAGGGGCTGCTGCTGTCTGATCATGTGTGGTCTCTGTGGGGTGCTGGAGGGTGGGGAAGGGATCGGCCCACCCCGCTGTGGGCGATATATAGGGGTTGGGGGAACTCTGGCCTGTGGGCGGGCAAGCTGAGGACCCAGCACAGACTTGAGCTGCTGGTTATCTGCTGTCCTTGGAGAAGGTCCTGATGCTGCATCTTCAAAGTCCATCCGTGGGTAATGTTGCTGGATGGGCAGGTTACTGTTGTTGTTGTTGTTGGTGTTCATGTTGGTGGCAAAACTTCTCTTCTGGTTATTATGTACTGCTAAAACCTGTTGGGAATACAGATGTCATCAGGTCAAACCATGGCACTCAAAGGTTAAAGGAATATTTGTTCCCACAATGCAATACTCACATTCTGAGGTAAAGATGGTGGTGAAGGTGCCCCACCCATCTGCTGGGGTCTGACCCGGGGTTGGGGCCTGGGTCTGTGGGTTCTGTGAGCCTGGGAGGATGAGCCTCTTGAGGCAGGGACTGTGTGGTCTTCATCTTCTATGTCAGACACGTCCATTTCTCCAACACTTATTTCATCATTTTCATCCTCAAATACCGGCTAAAATTATAAAAGGAATTTTAAAATTATTTCAAGACCTTTTGTTTCAGTTATGTCCCTTTTGTTAAGTCTGAAAATGTTCTGTTCACTAACTAAATCTCTAAAAGAAAAACTGTGTTAGAGTTAGATGCTACTTCCTTACCCTTGATGAGTCAGTCATCATTGTATCCTCTCTTGTATTGGTCAACACTTCACCATTGGATGTTCTCTTCTGCGGACCTGTTATGTTGATCTGAAACAAGAAGATGAAAATTTAATCACTTGAATACAAATATGTTAAAAACATAACAATATCTTTCAATAGCTGGCTAGAGGGTGTGTTACAACAAAGAAATATCAGAGAGAGAGTGACAGTTTTTTATTAAATTTTGTATATTTGACGTGAATTTAATTTATTTGATTTAAACACTGTAAAAAAGGGAAATGTTAGAACAATAACTGAATGAGATGAGGTAGGTGTAATTATCCAGAGCAATCAACCAGTGATATGTAAAGATGTTAAAGAATGGAACTACTTACTGACAGTCTTTCCCTTCTCCCTGAAGGCAAAGAAAACCTGTCCTGTGATTGGTTCATCTTGTCCTGGTCAGCTCTCTGCTCCCTGTCTAAACTGTTGAAGCTGCTGGATCTCCGGGCCAACATGTGGGTGGAGCGAGGCCTTTTTGGGGGGTGTGGCGGTGTTATGGGGGTTGATTGATTCGACCTCGTCCTAAAGCTCTATATTCAATTTAGGATAGTTCATCAATCAAACAAATCTTTTCTTCAACTTTTGTTATTTACATTTTGTTCAATATCCCAACTTATCAGTTTCTTTACTGAGGTGGAGGTTAATTAGTGTATACAATTTACCATACATATATGGAGATTTTACTATGACAAATCATACAAATCAGAAACAAACAACAGGTCAGCAGTTCTGGAAATATAATATGGACTAGTATATTTTTTAAATCTGATTTTTTAACATACTGTTATTAATCCTTTCGCAGCTAATTTTTCTTTCAAGTTTTTATGCTTTTGAAAATTACTGACCTAATGAGTAATTGTAATATTATATTCAGAACCTTGTTTGATAATCTTAGCCCAAATGTTTGAATACTCCAAAATTTTTTTGAAAACTATAAAATAACACAAGGTAAAAATATTTGCCTATTAAGAACAATAATTAATTTATATTATTTCCATGATACCTGTTTATTGTGGAATTTATTTTTAGGACTTTATTTAGGTAGAATATTTTTAAACTATTTCAATTTCATGACCTGTTTATTTTTACAGTTATGTCCCTTTTGTTAAGTCTAAAAATGTAAATCCTAAAAAAAGCAAATGCTGTTCCTTTTTCAGCATTCCAAAACACAATTTTCCAACCCTTCTAATAATAATTATCAAATTATAAAAGTAAAAACAAGGATTTTATAATCCACATGTAAACAAAAACTGTAATAGTTTTTTCATTTCCCCTTTTCTAAACAAGAGAGAGAAAATCTCACCATTCTGCTAAAATCATCTTGCACTGCGCTCTCCTCCTTCATGAAGAGCCCCAGCCCATTAGGCATGGGGCTGGCAGGGTTGCTTGACAACCGCTGCCTCTGGTGGGACATGATGATCAGCTGGCAGTAGTGGAGCTTGCGGATCCTGGCATAATCCCAGGCTGTAGCGTTAAACATATCAACCACATTCACATCCGCTGAAAAACATTGGGTTGCGTTCATTTTATTTTTTGTTACATAGAGCCTACATCTTGGTATAGAAAAACTTTGGAGGTTTTATGTACAAACAAATAAAATATCCTCACCATTTTTCTCTAGCTGGTATAGAAAATACTTTGGAGATTATGTACAAACAAAGAAAATATCCTCACCATTTTTCTCTAGCTGGTATAGAAAATACTTTGGAGATTATGTACAAACAAACAAAGAAAATATCCTCACCATTTTTCTCTAGCTGGTATAGAAAATACTTTGGAGATTTATGTACAAATAAAGAAAAAATCCTCACCATTTTTCTCTAGCAGGAAATTAACAACATCCCCATGTCCACCCATGGTGGCAAGATGTAGGGCTGTACGGCCTTGGTTATCCTGATCTAAAATACATTTTTCCCCAGCTATTTCTACAATCAGTCGACATGCATTCAAGGAACCTGAAACAAGGCATGTAAAAACGTAAATGCTGTGTTCCCCTACTTGTAACTTCAAATCATTTGCATTCTTTTATTTCATTACACTCTGCTGACTTCTACTTGTTTAACAGTTACATCTGTCTGTAAAATGATTTACAAAAATTTTTTTTCCAATTAATGTGTACTTGCTTTTGCAAAGAAAAGTACATTTTCTTTCTCAAACAAATACATCATTACTTAAAAGTAATAGCATTGTGTAGAGAACTCAAAAATGATCTTTTACTAATGTATTAATAATTACCATTGAATCTCTACACAATAATATTAAACTTATGTAAATATTGTTTATTTTGTGAAAACAAAAACAAATCCCTTTCAAAATTAAAAAAAATGTATAACTGCAGCCCCTACCCATTTCAGCAGCAACAAGTAAAACAGTTTTTCCATCTTCATCTTTGATGGCAGCACTGTCTGGGGTTAATAGAGTCTGGTCGGAATGAAAATATTTTTTTCATTAAGCTACAGTTGGTTAATAAAGTCTGGTAAGAATAGGAATATTTTTTTTGCAGTAATCCTTTAATTATAGTTGGTTTGATACTGGTGTTACAGACAAATTAATAAAAGTAATAAAATTATTTTCTTTAGCATTTCTTATAGATTTAGTATATACTAATGACTGAAAATATATTGCATAAATATTTTTTTTACTTTTTTTCTCAACATTTTTTTAGAAGTTATGATTTTAGAGTTATTTTTTACAGGTTTTTTTCACTTAAAAAATACTTTTTTGCTATCTCTAAAACCTCCATTAAAATCAAGGGGGTGAGAATCCGACTACCTGCAAACACTCAAGCGGCTGTGTGCGTCGGACTGACCAATGCATCCATGTTCTGCCGTTAGCATCCCTCTCAATGCCGTCTGACTCCTCTACGCGGCTGTTGTCTGCTTTACACAGCAGCTCAAAGTGTTTGATGTTATCCATGCGACATGCCCACATACTTGGGGTCAATCCATCTTTATCTCGGATTCCACAGAAGGCTTGGTGAGCTAACAAAATCTGTTGGATAAAAACAATCTTTGTCACCGTGATACAGTACTGTTTGGTTACATGCCCATGAAGTGTGTAGCACAAAACATGCCCATTGTATGCCTACCAGACAAAAATATTTTTATTGTACACCAGATCTGTTCTTGTCATCCTCAACAGAAAACCCCCCACAAATGTTTAAGACTTTTACTTGGAGGATACTCACCAATAGGTCATTGACAAAAACTTTTTGCTTACTGACTTGATTTAACAAATAACATTTATTTCACCACCAACTGTAATTGAACAAGTTTTGAACCCGTTTCTAAATAATTCCTAATTTTTAAAAAATCACCTGTAAGCATTCTGTGCTTCTGGTTGTGACAGCCCAGTGTATGGGTGCTCTCCCCTGGACGTCGCAGATGTCCAAGTCTCCCCCATAGTCCACAAGCAGCTGGAGTCCAACATGGTTGCCATCATGGCATGCTCTGTGCAAGGCTGTTGATCCGTCTGTCATTACAACATAGCTACAGTTATGTCATGCGACAAATTCTACAGCTGCATCTTGCCATGCTAAATATTTTAAAATCACAATGAAAATTCATCCATACAGAACTGTCAGTAACAGCAAGCAAGCAAGCCTACTGAAAAATAGATCTACCGTGCGCTTGGGTGTTGACATCAGATTTCTGCTCTAGGAGGAACCTGAGGGTCTCATGCTGGTTAAAATGCACAGCATACATGATCCCAGTACGCCCCAGCCCATCCACACTGTCTGCACAGCCTGGATCTTCAACAAAACAGAGCTCAATATAAATATGGACTCTATATGCCAAATCTATTTTTGGAAATGTTACTAAAGCAATCAGTCTGGTTTCATATCAACATTTTATTTATTGAATAAGCTACCTGAAAACTGATTTTTTTTTAAATCAAATAAATGCAAATGGAAAATGATGAAACATACTGATAATAACTCTTAACTACCTTGATGCAACAGTTCGCTTATTAAATCTATATCGCCTGCCTTGACTGCAATGATTATAGAGGGTAGAGAGACAAAGCTCACACTGTCCCCAAGGCTCATGGTAGCAGGTAGCTTTGTACTGTCTAGGTTTATCTGAATGGACATGGGTAGATACAGTATGAAAAAGTGTCAAGCTTTATCATGAGAAAAAAAATGTTCTGGAAATAGATCAAGCAAATACAAATGAGTATTCAATTTATGGAAAATAGAAAATACAAACCCATCGCCAAATAAATTTATCTGGAGCATCAACAAATGGTGTCATAGGACTCAAGCCACGAGCAGTCAGAGAGAGCGTATTGGCACATTTTTCCTGAGATCTATTTTGGATCAATCTTTTATATTTGGAGAAAAAAGTTCAATGAGTACAATGAAGTAAAAAATTACACAAATTTTCATTAAAACATATGTAAATAGTGTAAAAATATTTTTTTTAAAAAGTGCATCGATATATATATATATAAATATATATATATATATATATATATAAAATTACATATTTGCACTAAATACAGACCTATAATACTTTTGCATATGCAGAAGTGCCAAATTGAGTGTGTCACGAACATCAGCACATTCCACATCTTCGCTCAACTTGAGTAAAAACTCATGAATAAAGGCAGCAGCCTTCTGGAAATCTATCAAAATCAAAGTATGTGTGGAAGCAATAACACATGAAATCTATTTTATCTTACTGTATTTTTAACTGAGCGGATATCATGCAACATTGCTAAAAATAGTTATTAATTTATTTTACACATGTAGAAAGTATCTCAGGATGGGAGAAAGTATTTAAATTTAAAGCTCTCTGAAAGTTTTATTATTCTTTAATGGCCCTAATATTTAATTTCTGCTAAGTTTTCAAGACTACCTACTTTACTATTCAGTTTAAATATTATTTTATAGAAAACCTGAATAGTAAAGATGTAAAGTAATGCTTATTATAAGCATTTTTTTAAAAATAGGTTTACATATTAATATTACCAATATTACTGCTAGAATTTGTAAGGCCTTAAGTCTAGAATGACCTGAAACACTTTTTTTAAAACTAAAAACTTTAGAAAGTCTTCAAAAGCTTATTGAAATTTTAAAGCTCATATTATTACTAATACACTAAACACTTAAACAGTAATAAAATAAATAGATTAATTGAGCCTAATAGAGAAATTCTATAGGGCTATTAACTATATGGTATAGTATAGGGCAGTATACTATAGGCCATAGACCTAATTATAAATTAGTAGGCCTATATAATATATAATTACTAATTACTATAAAAAAAATAGACAAAAAGATGCATATGTAAATTAATTTTAAAATTATGTTCATTCCAACAATAAATCAGTAAATGATTCAAGTATACCAGCTCCTACTTCATCACAAATAGATTTAGATCTAAATCTACCAGGAAGACATTATTTATTAATTTAAAATTTATTTCATATTTGCCATTTGGCATCTTTTGAGAAGAAAAAAAATGTTGCTATGGCAACTAAACCACAGAGGGAATAAAATCAATTACTGCCTACAGTTTATTATTTTCCATGAAGTATCATACAAACAATGTAGTTATCTGTGCTTTGATTTGATTATTTCAATGATAATGTATCGGATAAACTTATGAAGAACAATAAACCATCTAAAATGAAATTTTAAAAATATATTAGGTCTGGCGTCTAAAAACAAAATGGCTGCCTTTTTTTTTTTAAAGTTGTTAACTTACCTTTTCTTTTGATTACCATTATGCGTTATATTTTACAGACTGTTAAGCGCGTTGCTTTGGAAGGCAACGTTTCATTCATTTCTAGATTTTATTACCTTACGAAAATTTCTAAAATATTAATTATTACATAACTATATTTGCCCATTTATAACTTATTGACACAGTAAACAAACTTTATTTTGAGTTTAATGGCGGATTCCCATAATACTTCTTTATCCGGAAGTCACACTTAAAGAAATAGTGCTAAATAAAACAATAGTATTTCCTTAAGTTCATAATTCTATAATTTTTATAATGATACTTTTAAAAACATTTAATAAATAGCGTGTTAAATTAGTACGGCTATAGTGTTTGCAAACAACTATCGATGTATTTTAGCATATATTATTGCGATCAAAAATAGTTCTTCCTTCGTTACGGCCGCCATATTGGTTACCTATTAAATTGTAGAGGAAGAGCTACAAAATCCTTAAACATCTGTTAATAATTTGAGTCACGGGGTCTTTTTGTGCATTAATTTTGTGGGTGCGGGTTTATTGGAATGGCTGACACGGATAAATTAAATATAGACAGTATTATAGCAAGACTTCTTGAAGGTAAGTAAAGGACTATTGGCCCCTCTTTTTTGTTGACATTTTTGCGCCTAGCCATTATAGAAGAAAATGGTTACAGAATACAGATTGAACATAAACTAGATATCGTCGAATGGACAATAATTATCGTTTTACACAAATACATACTACAATAAGACTTCAACCATTTATTATTTGATTACATTTAAGATTTTATTAATCTAGATCTAGTCGATCTAGATCTAGGATCTCGATCTCGACTCTCTATGTTGAAAATTAATCCAGAGAAAAGAATTCTAAAATCTAGATTTCTACTTCAGCACTTCTGGTCCAGGATCTAAATCTAGATCTAGCAGAAAGCCTAGATCTAGAACTCTAAGATTTAGTTACTTTAGCTAGCTTAAGATTCTATAGATCTAGAAATCTAATTGCAATAAGACCTAGAATCTCTAGATCTAGTCTAGATTCTAGATCATTTCGGGTTAAACGTTGACCAACAGTGGTATAGGTCCTAGAATAGAATCGAAGTCCGTAGAAATCTAAATTTCTATTTTGACGACTTATATGAAAAACTAAGCTACTGATATTGAATAAGGAAATGAGATGTTGTCTAGAATTCTCAATCTAATATCTAAGACTTCTAGATTCTAGTAGCTAAGCCAATGCAAACCCCCCCCCCCCCCCCCAATCAGCATGTCGCAGCGGAGGGTAAAAATGCTATTCAATCCAAAATTTCTTCAACAGTTAAAAAGGTTGTTCAATATAATGATGTATATGCACTATAACATGTTAACATAAACACAAGCATGCAAAAATTAGTGTTGAACATGCAGGGGATAGGGAAAGGCTGATTTGTCCAATTTTCTCATCAGCGACATTGGCTTACCTAATTCAAGTAAAATCATGTTTTTAGCAGGCCTATTCTTGTCTATAAATAGTTCTATTTCCCTAACCTTTTTATTGGCTAACTAGAGTAATAAATCTATAAAATAATCCATTGTAACAAGACTCAATGCAAGAATAGGTAGATCTAAACATTTATTTAGCCTACTTTCCTTCCATAGTGAAATCCCTTGCTCTCCTCAATTCATTTAGGTGTAGAGAGGCAATTTTTAGATTATATCCTTAATTTAGATTATAATATGGAACTAGATCTAGATCAAATCTACAACGACCCCCATTGTTTCATTGTCATTAGATAATTTTTACTATTAGTTATGTAGCTCTAGATATTGCTTGGATTTTTACGGGGGGTGTAATATTTAACATACTACATGTTTGTTTGGCATTTTGATTGTTGTGTTACTGGGAGTTGGGTAGGAGGGAGAGCAATGGTACATCTATGCACATGTTATTTTGAAAATTTAGACCTATCACTTTGATTTTCCTATCTTTTTAAGGTTAAGAAATTCCCTTGATTATAATAAAAAATGGAGTATTGGCCTTAGTATAAAATTAATTGTAATCTTAATCTATTTTCAGTCAGAGGCTCCAGACCAGGAAAGAATGTTCAGCTGACAGAATCTGAAATCAGGGGGCTCTGTTTAAAGTCTCGAGAAATCTTCCTTAGCCAGCCCATTTTATTAGAGCTGGAAGCTCCATTAAAAATATGTGGTGAGTGTTACTGAGAGGGTTTTTTGTTATTTTAAATCAAATTTTTTAAAATTATGTTCTGTATAGGTAGTCTAGTTCTGCTTCATAATTTATAAACTTGAGGAATGTTTTTTTTTTAAGGTGACATCCATGGTCAGTATTACGACCTGTTACGCTTGTTTGAGTATGGCGGTTTTCCACCAGAGTCAAACTATTTGTTTCTTGGTGACTATGTGGACAGAGGCAAACAGTCTTTGGAAACCATTTGCCTTCTCTTAGCATACAAGATCAAATATCCTGAAAACTTTTTCCTCCTACGAGGCAATCATGAATGTGCCAGTATCAATAGGATATATGGGTTCTATGATGAATGTAAGTATGTTGGGGTTTTTTGTCTGGATTTTTAAATATATTTTTTTCTATATATCCATTTAAAAAATGCCAAATTTCCTTACAGGCAAGCGACGATACAATATAAAATTATGGAAAACATTTACAGACTGTTTTAATTGCCTGCCAATCGCTGCCATTATTGATGAAAAAATTTTCTGCTGTCATGGAGGTGATGTTTTATTAGTGCTCCTTGTTCCTTTTTTTTTATGATTGTTAGTTGATTGTTAAACTTTGAGGTTTCATTTGACTTACATTTTTATTTTCACCACATTTTTAGGCTTGAGTCCAGACTTGCAGTCCATGGAGCAGATAAGGCGGATTATGAGACCTACTGATGTGCCAGATCAAGGTCTGCTCTGTGACTTGTTGTGGTCTGATCCTGACAAAGAAACTATGGGATGGGGTGAAAATGACAGGGGTGTTTCTTTCACTTTCGGAGCTGAAGTGGTGGCAAAGTTCTTACATAAGCATGACTTGGATCTCATATGTCGTGCTCATCAGGTTTGTGCTCATATTTCAATTTTATATTTGTCTGCAGTATTGCAAATATATTCATTTTTGCTAATTGTGCTTTTGTGTATCATAGGTGGTAGAGGATGGTTATGAATTTTTTGCAAAACGACAGTTGGTAACATTATTTTCTGCACCTAACTACTGTGGAGAGTTTGACAATGCTGGGGCCATGATGAGTGTTGATGAAACACTGATGTGTTCTTTCCAGGTTGGTTTTTTTATCTCTACATTTTTTGCTTTGCACATTTTTTGTTAACTGGCAATGTGGGTAGTAAATAAAATAGTCTTACTGATTTTATTATTAAAATATTTCAGATATTGAAGCCTGCTGACAAAAAAAAGTTCCCTTATGGGGGTTTGAATGCAGGTCGACCTGTAACACCTCCAAGGGGTAATCAGAAAGCCAAAGGCAAGATGTAACAATTTAAATGAACAAATGTTCTTGACATTTTCCACCCACAGACCCACTTGAAATTGTATATTTAACAGGACATTCACAATAAGCTATTCCCTCGTGACTAGTTGTATAGAGAAAACAAAACGTTAACATAAGTGTTGTTTGCTTGCTGCCCCAGCATGGAAATTTTTAATTTTCATTTGGCAGTAACAAAACAGCTTAAAAGTTTCAATTATTACATCAAATGCTGTTTAACTAAAGGGAAAATTGACATCATATTTAAACAAGTTTCAAATGCTTTAACAATATTAAGTTCAACATTTCATGTTAGGAAATGCTCACCTTCATGACTGTGTCACCAATATGGCGGCCTCATTTGTCTCAACAATGGTAGCACTTGCTCTTAACAATCAGTGTTTTTTTTTTCCTCTTTATTATTTAGGCTTGTCTGGTCAGAATTTGACTGGATGTGAATAAGGGGCTAATGCTCTGTTGTTGATAGTCCACACTGACACAGTCATGATTGTTTATTTGACCATATCCTGACTTGCATTTTATGTTTCAAGAAGTTTGGTTTTTTTCCATGTTCTCATTGTAATATATTCTTGTATATATGTTAACTAAATTGTTGAAACTTTTTTATAACAATGATTTCACTTTAGGTTTTCTTTTCTCACTTTGTAAGAGAGATTAGTGTACATTGTTAAACTGCTATATTATTAAGTACATGATCATGAATTATTTTATTCATTTACATAAAATGGTAATTCTTTTCTCTTTAATTCTGAGATACTTTTACTTATAAACAATATTGTAATAGTATTCCCTTTTTCAAACATTCACTTAACTTTCTCTTTGAAATGTTAATGGATTTGAATTTGAAATAAATGTTATGCTCAGAGATCAGCTCATTAGTTTTATTTATAACCAGTTGTAAGAAATCTGCAATAGGTTGCCGAGATGCAGCTATGTTTAGTAAAGAGTGTATATTGTGAAACTGTTCAAATGTACAGACCAAGTATACTAGTGATACATTATTTTTTTCTGTGCTATTAAATAGCTATCTTTATAATAAGTAAGGATAAAAATAGTGGGCCCTTCAGGCAATAAGTCTAGTTCATTATTTTGTTTGCTATAAGCCTGAGTGTTTCATTGCTTTGAAAATACTTAGCTTTTGTATGTCATGTGCTGCACGTATCTTGTATTATAAGAAAATTAAGGAATTAAAGTAAACAATTTAGTAACTGTGACCATGTGGTTTTTTGTTTCTCTTAAGTTTTTTGTACCAGATTTTTGTGTATTGGTGTCCAGTCACTTAAAATGCACTAGGTAAATACAACCATTATTTGTGTATGTAAATGTGTCTAGGTGGCCCCATCTTTCTTTGTAAGAAAAGATTCTTCTGCATCAGCTTTAAAGATTACATTCTAAACTAGTTATTAATAGCTTTGGTGTATCCATAGCTGGTCACAAACTTAGTGAAGACATCTAGTCTTTTATTTTGTCCATTTATATATACACTGTACAGAGTTGTCTGCCAATGAAATAATGAATCATTTAATTTTTGTCATTTCAGTGTTAATTAATTGAATTAATGTAGAGAGTAAATTGGTCTTTTTGAATGCTTCATCATTTTGTTTAGGCATCAGCAATCAAACAGTGTTAGCTTCATTCCAAATTCAATGCCATTTCTCTCAGTATTTATGTATATATATGGTTTATGTAGATTTATTCAACTTAATATTCAAGTGTGAATTAGTTGCTCTAATAACAATAATATAAAGGCATTGGTCCAATCTTTTGTTGATCTCAAATTTAGTAAGAGACACAAAACATTGTAACACATTTCTGGTTGGCTAATAAACTTAGACAGGTGTTGATCTTTATATCAAGTAGTTTGTTGCTATGTTCAGTAAGAATTGTCAGAATTTCATGATTTTAAAAAAACAATCAATTGATTTCATGTTTTTCTTTCCCATCAGAATGAGGAGAATAACTGGAGTGTGTAGGCAGACTGCAATGTTTAGTAATTCTCCATGTTTAATGAAGTATTTCTTGTGTCCCTGCTCAAGTGTTTCTCTTAGACCAGCAGATCTCTGATCTACAACTGGAGTATGTCTACTTAACTTCCTGATAATCATACGACTGGTATCTCTTTTTGTTCAGTTGAAAGTTTTCATTTATGTTATTACTTTTTCCAATGGGCCAAGGCTTCTAAAATTATAGGTAATAAATTATATCCAAAACAATAAACTGGAACTAGATATAAAGTTGCATACAAGCAGGGGTTGAGACTGAAAATGGTCCATTTATTTGTTACTATTATTACAAATATGCAATCCATATTTATTTTTGGCTTGTGCCAGGAATACAAGTGACACTGTGACAGTACAAATGTAATATCAATAAAACTACCCGTCAATACAATGTCATGTCAGACGTTACCTTGTTCTTAAACCGTTGGACCTTACTTGTTCACAATTTTTGTTACTTTATTTGGTATTTCATTTTTGTGCTTTTTTGTTTACTTATCAGTAAATCAGTTTGTTGATTAGTTTATTTAAGAGAGCTTGCCAAAGCTTCAACTGACTTAATCACACTGAGCAATGACATGCAGTTCATTAAGGTTTAGGTGCTCAATACAGGATCTGAGGTGTGGACAAAAATAACCTGACTGTAAGTGTAATATACATTTCCAGCCAAATAAAGCTCACAAATCAAAATACCAGTGTGGGGGGGGGGGGGGGGTCATTTCATTCTCGTTTTTTAGAAGTATAAGTATAAAGAACTCAAAACATTTCTTGTCCTAGCATCATTATTTGTTTCAAGTTTTTATAAACTAAAGGTTACATGTGGGGTGGGTTAGATTTTCAAAAGCAATGACATTTATGGTCGGCCCTCAATAAAAAAAAAAGTACTAAGGCATGTAGAATTTATGGTGCACTAATAATAAGTCGCTACCTTTTAAAATTGGACTTAAGTGTAATAAAAGTTCTAATGTAAGCTAAGTTTTATTGAGATGCTTGTGAAGACTGATTAGAAATGTTGCCATGACTACAGCTGGCAGAGAGGCTGGGATCAAATGGTGGTCAGTGAGTGGCTACACAAGGTTTGGTGGCACCAGATATTAATGTTGATTGTATGGATAGTACAACCAATAAATATACACTTTTGTCTTAGCTGTGTTCTTTTTTTTACTTCCTGATTTATTTATTGTTGTTGTTGACTTTGAAAGCAAGTAACCCCACGTTTTCATTGATTGACACAATCAACACATCTAGAGCAACCTGCCCCTCACTGAAAAAGAGGTGCGGGGATGTTTCATTGTAACTCTATTTAAGTATCTATGTCTACAGGAATGTGGCAGTTGTGAAGCTTCTCAAGTCGATAGTGATAATCCAATTTTTCACCTCCCTCGCCAGGACTATAACTAGTCTATAATAATAGAGGTGACCGAATCGTTTTATAAATGTAAATCAGGCGATCGAGCTGGATTGTTTTCAATATGACACCTCCATTAAAAACTGATGTATATTAACTCCATATATACTGGAGATACAGCTGAGACCATGCTAGATACTGGAAATATGGGATCTGAGCTGCCCCTATCGACACAAAAACAATTTGTAAAATTAAGATTGTTTCACCAAGTAACCCGTTGTCATGGACACTCAGAAGTCGCTGAAGATCTGCCTAACACCCCAACTGGGATCGTGCATGCATAACCTTTCATGGTGATTTATCATATTTTGATTGACATGACTTCCAGCTGCTGAAAACTAACCTGATACTGTTAGGCCAGTTTAAGCTTTCAGCCTTTTTTCTTCTGTGAGAGGGGGGGGGGGGGCGGACGATTGGTAAAAGTACATACTTTTCTACATAAATTTCGGGGGGGGGGGGGGGGGAAGCGTTGGACGGAGAGATTCCTGTAACTAATGTAAGAAACTGGACCAATGCAGGCCTTGATGCTACTTAATAAGTTTGTATGAACGTGTGGGCAGTAAGGGAAATAATTATTGTAGGTTTTTACAAGTTTAAAAACAAAATGTTTTTAAAATGCATACTTATTACAAAACTACAAACACATTTTGATTTTATAGTACCAATATAAAGGGATTATTATGTAAAAAATGTTTTTTCACTAAACCGATAGAAATTTAAATTAAACTATTGGTTTAAAAAATCGTTGTTGAAATAAGAGAGAAGTTTAATTGAGTTATGTCCCTTGCATGTTTTGTTTTGGGTACCCAAACCAGTCTGGCGAGTTTAAGTCCAATCTGAATGTATTATCAACACAGCATGGAAGACTATTTTTGGAATCGATATAACATTCTACACCCTGTTCGACTGGACTACACAGGGGCTTGGTCTAAATGCAAGTTAGGATCACCTAGAAAAATAACCGGTGGATGGACAACTAAAGTCCCATCTCATCCTTCTAATAGGAAAAAAAAATAAAAGCTAGAGCATCTAGAGATCTAGGCAAAGATAGATCTAGTAGAACATTTGAAATAATAAAAATTTTCATGAGAGAAATTAACGGATTTTAATAAGAATTGTCTTGTCTTCAAAGATCCAGTGTTCGCCTGCATAACAGGTAATATCTTTTCTTCATTTTTAATAGGTTGAATCATAGATATTGTACTGTTATTTTTTTATTAAATAAAATTGAATTTATTGATGATAGATTGTAATATTCTAATTTTTAAAAATAATCAGTGAGTATACCTAGACCAATTATATCTTGATGAATAATATGATGATAATAATAATATGAGTTGTATAACATTAGTGTCATTAGGCCCACATAATGTATATGAAGCCTTAACTAATAACTAACTCACTAAGTGCAAGTGGACTATTACTATACTACTACTCTGACATTGTTAAGGTTTAATTAACCAATTTTAATTATGGTAGGTTTAAAGAACCTAGTTGCTGATCATGAAGTCTTTAATTATGCTGATTATTAATTAGGCTAGATACTTGATGGTGGAAGATGACCTACAAACAAGTATCATTGTTTTATCTCCATATGATATTAGCTATCTACCATGTCAACTTTATTATCCTACAAAACATTTTAAGTTGTTAAAACATTACCCATGACCACATTGTTATGATTCCAGAGCAACACTATGGTATCTCTAATCCTTTTGGTGTCGGCACTGCTCCCTCTTGTGACTGTGGGGCAGACCCTGTTGCAGAAGACATGTTCCGCAGACAACCAGGCTACCATACAGCGTGACGCCACAGCCTGGATTGGTGGCGTCATATCCCTCAATGAGAAGCGCAGCAGCGATGGCGGATGTGGGGACTCTGATGGATGTAATGATAATTTAAGATAAATTTGGGGGATTATCCATCTACTGTTTGACCATACAACTTTCTCATCCATTGGGCTATGGTGAAGTTTGTAAAGTCAGGTTTGGGTCAAGGGTTAGGGTTATTAAAAAGTAATTCTGATTAGAAATTTGATACTAACAACACCAAACTTTGATAGGCACTGCTTTTAACAATGTCCCTGAATTTTCTTTCAATATGCAGTGCTATTTTTAACACAAGGGTTTTGCATGCACATATTGATGATCGATAACCCCAGATTTATTTGCTGGAACTATGAATGATGATGTGGTTTTTTGCTATTGTGAATGTTAAGTTTAATATGGAAATATTATAATGGGGGATACAAAATGCCTCACTTGATACATGTGATTTAGTGAAAAACAAACTTGGTTTTTTGGAAAAGTAGTGAACATTATTAGAGTTAGAGCATACAATAGCAGTGATGGTCAAACATTTTGTCTGTTGTTAGGGCAAATTGTCTGTTGTTGATGGTAGCACATTTTGTCTGTTGTTGATAATAAAATATTTTGTCTGTTGTTGATGGTAGCACATTTTGTCTGTTGTTGATGGTAGCACATTTTGTCTGTTGTTGATGGTAGCACATTTTGTCTGTTGTTGATGGTAGCCCATTTTGTCTGTTGTTGATGGTAGCCCATTTTGTCTGTTGTTGATGGTAGCACCTTTTGTCTGTTGTTGATGGTAGCACATTTTGTCTGTTGTTGATGGTAGCCCATTTTGTCTGTTGTTGATGGTAGCACCTTTCGTCTGTTGTTGATGGTAGCACATTTTGTCTGTTGTTAATGATAAATCTGTCTGTTGTTGATGGTAGCCCATTTTGTCTGTTGTTGATGGTAGCACATTTTGTCTGTTGTTGATGGTAGCCCATTTTGTCTGTTGTTGATGGTAGCCCATTTTGTCTGTTGTTGATGGTAGCACCTTTTGTCTGTTGTTGATGGTAGCACATTTTGTCTGTTGTTGATGGTAGCCCATTTTGTCTGTTGTTGATGGTAGCACCTTTCGTCTGTTGTTGATGGTAGCACATTTTGTCTGTTGTTAATGATAAATCTGTCTGTTGTTGATGGTAGCCCATTTTGTCTGTTGTTGATGGTAGCACATTTTGTCTGTTGTTGATGGTAGCCCATTTTGTCTGTTGTTGATGGTAGCACATTTTGTCTGTTGTTGATGGTAGCACATTTTGTCTGTTGTTGATGGTAGCACCTTTTGTCTGTTGTTGATGATAAATCTGTCTGTTGTCACCAGCAATGCAGGGGTATGAAGCCTTGAGGTGGGTACTTGACCTGTTGAACAAGAAGAATGAGACCATCCAAACACAGTGGGTGGATGATTATTATGTTCCTGGCATTCGACTGGGCAAGTCACATTTTTTTACATACAAATCTTTGGTTATATAGTTAATCAATGGTAAACTTATAATTATCACATTGTTATCTATACATTTGTAGATTTGTTTTCACATCACTTGACAACTGATGTGAGCAAACCTAAAATGTCTAAATAAATTAGCCACATCAAAAGCTGTAATTTATGGAGAAGTCTTGATGTTGTAGAATTATAGTTCAAGTGTAAATTCTATCAAATAAAACTAAACAAACAAACAAAAATATAAAAGTCTAACAGAAAAAACACTATGACTAATCTTTGGGTGCAATGTGCAGGTATGAAGGTGAGAAACTACTGCAACAACCAACTGACTGCTGTGTCCAGCATTGGCTCCATCTTCCCTGAGTTGAGTGATGATCAAGCATCCTGCTCTCAAGCACAGACTATAAATCTAGGTACTTAAACCACTTGAAAATAATAAAACAAACAAAAATGACACAAATCTCTGTAAATAATGATCAGCACATCTAGGGGAGTTAACACACAGTACCTGGTGGTGCTGTGTCCTTTACAAAAACCACTTCCCTTTTGTTAATCCAAACCATAAGTATAGGACATATTTAGAGAGTTATTCTGGTCATTATCAAAATATATTCCATTTGGATGATTAGTATATGTTTTGTACCAATAATGTGAAGTTGTAAAACAGATTTTCTCCCTTGTGTAAGGTATCATTGGAGCATCTAGGTCAGGTGACACCATTGAGCTAGCAGAAGCTGCAGAGGGCTACAAGATACCAGTGGTCTCCTACCAGGCCACCACCCCTTCCCTGACCCTCTCTGGTCAGCACCCTAACTTTATGAGGACTGTCTCCCCTGACGGACCATTGATGGAGGTACATTCTTACCACATTTTAAAGTGGGGGGAGGGGGCGGGGATTTTTTTAATCAAGATAAGTTTAGAGATTTTTTTTAATAATGTGTTTAAACTTGCAGGTTATAGTGAAAGTGTTCAAGATAAGTTTAAAAATGTAAAAAAAAAATTTGTTGAAACTTGCAGGTTATAGTGAAAGTGTTCAAGATAAGTTTAAAAATGTAAAAAAAATGTGTTGAAACTTGCAGGTTATAGTGAAAGTGTTCAAGCAGCTGAACTGGAACTATGTGGCTGTTGTGTATGACAAGGGCTCCTACGGTTCCCTGGGCTACAAGGAGCTCCACACCAGGATGGTGGCTGCTGGCATCTGCTTGACCACAGCCATCATGGTTGATGCCTACGACAGTTCCACCACCACTGACACTCTCAACAAGATCATTGGCACCAATGCTACGGGTGCCGTATATGTGGGCCCATATTCATACGCCATATCTCTGCTTCTACAAGGAAATGCAATGAAACCCGGTATGTTCTTACTTCTAATTCAATTTACAACTTTAACCTTTGTAATGTTAATACAATCTACACTTTATGTATTTCAAACTTGCAATATAATTTTATGAATTGAAAAAAAAATTAGAAATGTATTGCACTTTACAATATAATTGTTTTTAAGCTTTCCTTTTAAAGATGTACTATATTAAAAACCCAAATTGTATACAAGCTTTGTACCCTTCATGTTTTTCAATTTGATTTTAATTATCAATTATATTGCGTTTTGATTTTTAAAATTAATTATCTTTTATAATTGTTGTCCTGTAACTCATAATCCTCTTGTGTTTTGGTTACTTCCTCTTTAGATGCAGGCAAGATTCAGTGGATACTGACAGAATTCCCACTGGACTACGTGTTTGATTCCACCAGCACCTACCAGAGAGGTGTGCTCTTTGTCTCAGCTGCCTCCAGATATATTGCTGAGTTTGAGGACCACTGGATTAGGCTCAATGAGACCAACCCATCAGATGAGAACCCTTGGTTTTCTAGGTGGTTTGAGGATAGCAAGAACTGTAAATTCAATCCAACTTCTAGCTCACAGAGGTAGCATATTTTCTTTAAAATTTACTTTAAAATTTCAACTTCTAGCTCATAGAGGTAGCATATTTTCTTTAAACTTTACTTTAAGATTTCAACTTCTAGCTCATAGAGGTAGCATATTTTCTTTAAACTTTACTTTAAGATTGATTTAAGCTGAGTGTATTTTTTTAGGAGGTATTGAAATATAGTTTTCAGCATGTTAAATAACCTTTCTTTAACAACTTTTTCAGCAACTGTAACAGTATTTATGCATTGATGACAGCCACAGAAAAAGAGCTGTTAAAAACATAACCTTTCTATTTCAGCAACTGTAACAGTATTTATGCAGGGATGTGTTAAAAACATAACCTTTCTATTTCAGCAACTGTAACATTATTTATGCAGGGATGACAGCCACAGAAAAAGAGCTGTTAAAAACATAACCTTTCTATTTCAGCAACTGTAACAGTATTTATGCAGGGATGACTGCCACAGAAAAAGAGCTGTTAAAAAGAGCCAAATATCAACAAGACCAGTATGTGGAGGCTGCAGTAATGTCTGTGTTCACGTATGCACGTGCACTGCGTACGGCCCAGAAGGCCAAATGTCCAGGTGTTTCTGGTCTATGTTTTGCACTGAAGAACATGACACGAGAAACTTTCTACAATGATTACCTTAAGAAGGTATTGTCAATATAGATCTTAGATTGCCTAAAGAGTGAGAATATAGAGATCTTAGATTACCTTAAGAAGGTATTGTCAATATAGATCTTAGATTGCCTTAAGAAGGTAGAGTGAGAATATATATGTTAGATTACCTCAAGAAGGTAGAGTTAAAATAAAGATCTTAAGCATGCAAGTAGCTGTATTTGGATTGGATTGATAAAGCAAAGATTTGGAACCAAATTTCCAGATGTGAGACTAAAGCTGATAGGATTTAAAATTTCATATCTTTGTTGATATTTCATCTGGTTAGGTTTTACTTTAAGAGTTTGTCATTAGCCTAATACAAAATGCTGGATATTTTTATAGAGTTAAAAACTAGCTTGTTTGTTGTTTTTTTTTCGAAAAAAAAGTTTTTTAAAGAAATCCTCCATTTCAGGTGAACTTTACATTCACATCTGATGAACGAGTTCCCACCCTGGCCTCCAACAATGTTCCACCTTACAACGCGGCCAAACGTCTGAGCTTTAACTCCTTTGGTGACATCTCTGACCCGTCCTACTACATCTGGAACTACAACGACATTGAGACTGGCTCTGGATCATCAGACTTCCAGTTCAGACGTGTAAGTGGCATCTTACATGTCTATCATTACACCCTCAAGTTACCTGATAGATAATTATTGTGGTTAAAATGTGGGACACATCACACCCTCAAGTTACCTGATAGATAATTGTTGTGGTTAAAATGTGGGACACATCACACCTTCAAGTTATCTGATAGATAATTGTTGTGGTTAAAATGTGGGACACATCACACCTTCAAGTTACCTGATAGATAATTGTTGTGGTTAAAATCTGGGACACATCACACCCTCAAGTTACCTGATAGATAATTGTTGTGGTTAAAATGTGGGACACATCACACCTTCAAGTTACCTGATAGATAATTGTTGTGGTTAAAATCTGGGACACATCACACCCTCAAGTTACCTGATAGATAATTGTTGTGGTTAAAATCTAGTAGTGCCAGCAGAGATGTGAGTGTGATGTTGTCTAGGCCAAGCAGATAGAAATTTCTCACCAGAAGCTGCTAACTCTGTTACTGAATATGTTAAATTGAGCCCATGGTTCCAGATTAGCTCAGTCTGTTTTGTTCTCAGACTTTTACCAGACATCAAAACAAGTGCTTTTTTTTAACTGCTTATATTTTTAATGTTTTATAATTATGGTAAACCTTACAAATTTGTTGTTATTGTAAGAAGTAAATGGATTCTAAAAAACTAGTTAGTGCTACCTAACATAATACATTACAAGTGAAAAAAAACCACATTAATCTAAACAAAAGTATTTTCTTAAGTAAGATTTTTAAAACATAAATGAAATTTTAATAGCAATTTTTTATAAATTTGCATCCCTGATTTTTGATGATTTAATAATTTCTGCTGTAAAATATTTTGTTTTACTACTTCAGGTTGGAAGCCACATCAACGGCAAACTGGATTTCAATTTGAATAATGTGGGCATGTACTCCAATGATAGAATGACCAGGCTCCTCCCCCTCCCCTCCTCCCTGTGCCCCTCCGCAGGGTGCAACCCTTGTCTAGGACTTCCTGCTGAACTCAAGTATTATTACGAGCCCGGCAGTGTTGTCATCAATGGCATCTTCTCCCTGCACAACATGGGGCTGACTAGCCTCACCTGTGGTGCAATGAAGTGAGTAGTGGAGTTAACAACTCTAATAGTGATAGTTTTTATGTTTAAACGTTTACAAATTTTTTTTTAAATGCTCTGCATTTCTTTATGTCAAAGTTTATCATTAAATGTTTAGGTCAGCCAACCATTTCATGTACCTGGAGGCCATGATCTACGCCATCAGACAGGCCAATGCCAATGTCACCTACTCAGGTAAATTCAAGTTTGGTGGCCTGGGCATGGATGACTGCAGCAGCTCAGATCTAGGCCAGACCTACATAGCTCAGGTAATTACCTACCTTTATTAGTAGCTCAGGTTTATTACCTACCTTTATTGGTAGCTCAGGTAATTACTTACCTTTAGCTCAGGTAATTACATACCTTTAGCTCAGGTAATTACATACGTTTATTAGTAGCTCAGGTAATTACCTACCTTTATTAGTAGCTCAGGTTTATTACCTACCTTTATTGGTAGCTCAGGTAATTACTTACCTTTAGCTCAGGTAATTACATACCTTTAGCTCAGGTAATTACATATGTTTATTAGTAGCTCAGGTAATTACTTACCTTTATTGGTAGCTCAGGTAATTACTTACCTTTATTGGTAGCTCAGGTTTATTACCTACCTTTATTGGTAGCTCAGGTAATAATCTACCTTTAGTGATAGCTCAGGTAATTGCTTACCTTTTTTGATAAATCAGTTTCCTTGGAATAAAAATTATAGAACTACAAAACTGTTTAACTTGTGCTTGAAATTGACAGATTTTTTATTTATGTTTTAGGTACAAAGAGGCAATCTAAAAATAACTGACACAACAGGAAATGTGTTGGATCCCCGCACCATTGAGGCCTACACAGCAGCACACACCACACAGCTGACCCTCCCACTGGCCGAGGCCATGAACATGCTCCTACGGCCAATGGTTGGATACAGGGCCGGCGGATCAGAGCTGGATGACAAGAGCAGGTATCCGTACTACCTGCAGGCAGGACCCAGCACCAGGGATGAGATCAAGGCTATAATAATGATGTTGAAGAAACTCAAGTGGATGTATGTTCAGGTAGGTCATCAAGGCTATCATTATGTTGTTGAAGAAACTCAAGTGGATGTATGTGCAGGTAGCTCACCAAATCCTCTTTTGTTACTTCTCACACCAGTTTTGATAAATTCATTTTTTGATAAACTTTGTAAGTCCTTGTACATTTTGGAACTATAGCAAACTTTACAGTTTTTAAAACTATATAACAGTTGATTTTAATGATTTTTTTAGTGTTTAAAAATGATCCCTGCATTTTTCTCAATATAATTTTTAAAGATGTTTTGTTAAAATTGTATCTGTATCTACTTAATACATATGTTTTGTTTTTCTAGATATACTGTTTAATGGTTTAAGCTATACTACTATAAATCCCTTGAACGGATCTGTATCCACTAGATTGTCCAATTTTTTCTCTCTACTCCCAGGCTGTAGTGTCTGACCTCCACTACTCTGTCGATGCCTTAAAGCTGCTCCGTGAGCTGGGAGCCAAAGCAGGAATTTGTGTTGTTGCCACCCACAACATCGGCACCACCAGCGATGGTGTGAATGCTGTGATCAACGGCTTGAATGCCAATACAGCCACGGCCCCCGCTGTTGTCCTGCTGGAACCAGAGGACTCCAGGCGTCTGCTGGCGGGGCTCAGCTCCAACACTGCCCTGCGCAGAAATATTGCATTGATTGGCACCAGCCGCTGGGGGCGGGACATGTCTGTTGTGAAAGGATATGAAGATATTGCTGAAGGGCTGATCACTCTCAGGTTTGAGATTAATTAGTTCCCTTGTTTTGTCATCTACATCTCATCTATTCATGATATCAACATCAAGAGTTGTGTGACTTGAGTGGGGGTAAGCTACACAGGCAAGGTGGGTTAGGAAAGTTCAGAAGTGGCATACATTTTGTTAGCTTAGAAACATAAAATTGAAAAATTGATGAAAAAACATTGGGGGGGGGGGGGGCGACTTTGAAAAGTATGATAATAAAAAGTCATCTTTAAAAATTGTAATATTTTTTGTGGATGAATCCCTAACCTTCTCATTGCAAATTTTTAAAGCACTTAGTTTTTAATTTATGATGAAACAATTAAAACAACAACATTAATTATTTCATATGTGTACCTGCAGTGTCCACTCCTCCACGCTGGACAAGTTCAGAGCTTACCTGTCTGATCTGAATGCCAACAACTACACACTGAACCCCTGGTTCAAAGAGTGGTACATGGCCGCCTATAACTGCACCACAGTGGCCCAGAGTGGAATGAGTCTCTGCAGCTTCACATCTCCCATAACATCTGGGCCAAACTTCAACATGCTCTATGAGGTAGTACTGCCACTCTGTATATCTGTACATTGTTTTAATGTTGCCAATAATCTGTGTGGAACCTTATACTGTAACCAAACTCAGATCAAATCATAATCTGCTATGTTTTATTTATAGTTATAGAAAGTGAAGTAAGATTGAATTATTAAGACAATTCTTAATAATTAAAAACAAATTCTAAACAAAAATTTTGATTACATGTGATTTTTCAAATTTAAAAGTTGTAGATTATATGTTTTGTTAACTAAATAAATGTTGTTTTACCAGGTGGAAAATGTGATCAATGCTGTCACAGCAATAGCCTATGGTCTGGACAGTACACTGAGTGTTAACTAAATAAATATTGTTTTACCAGGTGGAAAATGTGATCAATGCTGTGACAGCAATAGCCTATGGTCTGGACAGTACACCAAGTGTTAACTAAATAAATATTGTTTTACCAGGTGGAAAATGTGATCAATGCTGTGACAGCAATAGCCTATGGTCTGGACAGTACACTGAGTGTTAACTAAATAAATATTGTTTTACCAGGTGGAAAATGTGATCAATGCTGTCACAGCAATAGCCTATGGTCTGGACAGTACACTGAGTGTTAACTAAATAAATATTGTTTTACCAGGTGGAAAATGTGATCAATGCTGTGACAGCAATAGCCTATGGTCTAGACAGTACACTGAGGTTTTACTGTGGCAACAGCTACCAGAGCATTTGTGGGGCCTTCTTAAACTCTGCTGATAAAGGGGCCAGGTTCCTGGCAGAGATTAAAAAAGTCACGTTTCCAATTGAGGACAAGTCTGCACCTAACACTTTCAAGTTTGTCGGGGGGTCTGGCGCCGTACCTTTTGAAATCAACAACTTCCGTAGCAAAAACTACCAGAAGGTACAGTGGGTTACAGTAGAAGCTCCATTGTTCTAGATTACTACTCAGCTAAAATAAGTACTTTTATGTAGTTGATAACGTTGTTTATCAGTTAGTGATTTAAAAAGGTGTTCATTTTTTTAGCAGTACTCATTAAACATGTGTAGCATTGCTGAATACAGAACTTTTAACCTAAAACTTAATGTTAGAACCTAGCCAAATCCTCAGTTTTGAAATAGTGATGCCACTGTATATGTCAATAATTGTCTGTTGTTTGGTTTTTCTTCACCATGTTAAGAAAGAAAGTAGATTACAGTATACTTTTTCTGCTTGTCTAGGTGGGTGATGTGGACCCATGGGAGAAGACTCTAACCCTTTCAACCATTAAGCTCTACGCTAATGCAGATCCTGTGGCTACCATGTCAATGTGCCCCACCCCCTGTCTGGAATGTCTGTACATGTTTTATTACCTAGACTACTGGTATATACCTGGAGATGTGGTCATTGGGGCAATATTTGACATCCACTACTCAGGCAATGGGCCATTCAGCTGTGCTGACATCACACTCAACAATGGCGCCATGTATACAGAGGTCTTCGACTTCGCTCTGAAAAAAATTAACAGCGGAACAGAAAGTGTCAGGTTAAGAAATGTCACCCTCGGAGGGTTGGCGTTTGATGGTTGTGCCAACCCCACAAGAGCCACGGCTATTGTCAACCTGGTCCACACTGGCATGCCAATCATGGACGCATCAGGCAATGAGTTCAGCAGTTCACAGCTGGTGTCGTGGATGACCTACGACAGCCAGACCACCATCGACACCGCGGGTCTGCTACAAAAACTGGACATGCCCATCATCAGTCCTGGAGCCACCGCCAGGGCTCTGGACAACAAAAATAATTTCTTCACCTTCTTCAGGACTATCCCCTCTGACTCTGTCGTCGTTAGAGGCATGGCCAATTTCGCTAATGCTATGGGATGGAAATACGTCATTGTCTTGAATGCACCTGACACTTCTAATCGTCAATCCAGAGATTACTTCCGAGAGCTGCTAGCCTCATACGGTATCTGTGTTGTGGCGTCGTACGAGTTTGTAACAGACGGATCCATGGGGGTGATCCTTGACTCCATCATGAAAGCTGACACACAAGTGGTGGCAGTCTTTGCAGAGCCTAACAGATACATCGCTGAATTTCTGCAAGCCAAGTCTGTCAACTATTACCAAGCTCCCCTGAGATTTATCGCCAACCGCCCGTGGGGTCAAGTGGTCAAGACTGGCTTAACTTTCAATTACCAAGTCCAGCAGTCAGTTTTCTTTGACCTGCCCCAGTTTACGGTCTCAGCTTTCACAAATTTCTTGAGTGCTAAATCTGTCTTGAGCAACAGCAACCCATGGTTCCAGGAGATCTACTCGGCTGTGTTTGCATGCAACTTGCCTGGTTCCTACAAGTATGTAACAGACTGCAATGCAAATAGGTAAACATGCTTTTCCAAAACATTTTTTTAAAAACTTCTCCAGTCTTTCTGCCTTTGAGATATATACTTCAGACTAGTTTTGAATATAGATGAATATAACAGCCATTACATTTTTATCATTTCACTTTCATTGTTAAACAATGGACTAAAGTTTGCATTAAATCTAACTAACAAAGATAATTTTCTATTTATTATTACTTTGACTTGAAAAGTTAATGATCTAATGAAATAAGAATCTATACTTCTTTAACTGTGTTCTGTTAAACTGAATAATGAAATATAATATGAGATTAAGGTGGTTAACTGGAGATATCAACTGGAATATTTCAGCTAATTAATTTATTTTTAATTACAGGGTTATAGACAGCAACAGCTGGTCTCAGGACATCTGGACACTGTCCACTGTTAATGCCATCTACGCAGTGGCTGAAGGTGTCCACAGAACACTGGTGATGAAGTGTGGAGCTAACTACAATGGCGTCTGCTCCAACTTCACCTACGGCAGTGACGTCCACGACCTGATCATGGCCCAGATGGACCAGGAGAGTTTCACTGAGATAGAGAGGGCTGTTTTTAACTTTGTTGTCAGGGAGGCAAACAAGACCTACAGCCTGATGAGATACCCTAGCAGTGGATCCCCTGAAATGCTGGTTGGTGATGTCTAAAAACTTCTTTTCTGTATACTCAACTCTTTTATTTGCTTGACATGAATTGAATAAACAAAAACAAATTGTTTTATTCCGAAACATTCGTTTCAATCAAGTAAAAGTTAATGAAATATGTGAGCCTCCACTACCTTTCTACAAATGTCTGACAAAATTACAATTTTTTAATTTTTATTTTCCTCAAATATTAAACAGTATTGGATTTCAAATTTTATTTTAAAACAACTTTAATTTTATTATAAATAACTAAAGTAACAAATAATAATGGTACTTGAAGCTAAAACATTACCTTTATACTATAAGAATATTGTCTGTTACCTTTGTACTATAAGAATATTGTCTGTTACCTTTGTACTATAAGACTATTGTCTGTTACCTTTGTACTATAAGACTATTGTCTGTTACCTTTGTACTATAAGACTATTGTCTGTTACCTTTGTACTATAAGACTATTGTCTGTTACCTTTGTACTATAAGAATATTGTCTGTTACCTTTGTACTATAAGAATATTGTCTGTTACCTTTGTACTATAAGACTATTGTCTGTTACCTTTGTACTATAAGACTATTGTCTGTTACCTTTGTACTATAAGAATATTGTCTGTTACCTTTGTACTATAAGACTATTGTCTGTTACCTTTGTACTATAAGAATATTGTCTGTTACCTTTGTACTATAAGACTATTGTCTGTTACCTTTGTACTATAAGACTATTGTCTGTTACCTTTGTACTATAAGAATATTGTCTGTTACCTTTGTACTATAAGACTATTGTCTGTTACCTTTGTACTATAAGAATATTGTCTGTTACCTTTGTACTATAAGACTATTGTCTGTTACCTTTGTACTATAAGACTATTGTCTGTTACCTTTGTACTATAAGAATATTGTCTGTTACCTTTGTACTATAAGACTATTGTCTGTTACCTTTGTACTATAACAATATTGTCTGCCAACAGGGCAGCCTGGATGGCAATGGGACCTTGACCTTGGTTGACAAGACCCGACTGTTGAGTGATTACAAGGCTGTAAAATCTGCTTGTGCCGGGGACTGTCTGGTGTGTAGTGCTGCTAATGCCAACCTGCAGGATATTACCCTCATTCCTGGAGATTTCTACATTGTTGGTAGGGAATGGCTTTGTTTGCCTAAAATACTCTCTCAGTTAGTTCTATCCTTTTGTCACTTTTTAAAAAGTTATTGTAATTATAAAGCAATGTTTTTTATTTCTACTTCCTGTCAATAACAAAAGTAATTTTTTCTTTCTCCAAAGTATTTTATGTAAAATAAATTTGTTTTATTAATATAACACTCTTAGCTAATTAAAATTGAACTGAAGAGACCTTCAGTTGTTTGTTTTTTTCCCACTGAATCTCTGTCAACTCCTGATCTAGTGTTGCTTCCAATGTTCCCACCCCTCAGGTCTGTTTGATGTCCACCTGCCTGGAGCCACACCTTTCACCTGTGGCGCCATCAACCCCAAGCATGGCCTGCAACTGCTGGAAGCTTTTCATTTTGCTCTGGAATATGTCAACAACAAGACCGGCTATTTTAAGTGAGTGAAAAATATGAAACCTCATCTGTATCACATTGATCAAACTTGTATGGAAATAGTGACATGCAATCAAATATTGACATGCACTCAAATATTAACATGCACTCAAATATTGATATGCACTCAAATATTGACATACATGCAAATATTGACACTCACTATTATATTGACATGCACTAGATATTTGCATGCACTCAAATATGAACTATCCCTAAAATATTGTAAGTAAAGTGGCAGCAAAGTGACCTCAGTTTATGAATGGATAGTGTGGTCATCACAATATTTTCTTTATTTTGTTAAAATACCAATGTATCTTAAGCATCAAATGTGAACATATAGGCAACATAACAGTATGTTACAACTGTAAAATAATTTTTGCTGCATAATTATATTAAACGTCTTAACTTTTAAGTGACTGTTTTTGAGGTACGCATTGAAAACATATTAACTCATTTTTCTTAAGGGACAAACTGCCCAATGTCCAGCTAGGTGGCGTTGGCCTGGACATGTGCATGTCCGCATCCAGGGCGGCCAACCTTGTGGCCAACATCCACAGTGGGAACATCGTGCTGAAGAAGAACGGCATCACTGTAGACTCGAGGATGATTGACGCATACATTGCCACCATGGACACGGAGTCTAGCACACGTGTTGCTGACATTCTTACACAGCTGGGGATACCTCAGGTCTGTACAACTGTTTGGGTGTCTGATCAAACAAACTCAAGCTATTAAATCTTACAATTATTATCTGTAACCAACAATTTATTCTTGCATTGTAAAGACTGAAGGAAACAGAAATATGTAAAAATATTTCTAGGTGGATTTATTTACTAACTTGTTTTCTCTCCTTGTTTGAAATTTACCACCCCTTCCTGTATGTGAAAGGGTACCTTTTCTTATTGATTTTATGTTTTATTTTAGCTTTTCAAAACACATATAATTTAACCATTTTTTATTGATTTTCTTTGTCTTGTAGAATAGCAAAAATATAGAGTTATTTCCCTTGCCTTTACGCCTAATTACTGTTTGAGTTAGTGCTGTTATTAGGGTCAGGATAAGGGCCAGGGTAGAACTCAATATAAAAGAAACCAGGTTTGTTATGCCATGTTGTCATGCTAACATGTAGCTGTTTCCCCACTGAGCAGATAAGTTATGGAGCCACAGGCATGGATCTGCTGGACAGGACCAAGTACAACTACTTCCTGCGCTCAGTGCCTGCTGATGACAAGCAGTGCAGGGCCATTGTCTCCTACCTCAAGAAGTTCCTCTACAACAACATCCAGGTCAGGGGTCGTTGCTTTAGCACTCAGCTCATGGGTCATTGCATTAATGTGTTACATCCTTCTGGTCAAGGGTCGCTTGTGATCTTTCATAAACAACACATTCTCAGGGTAGAGAGGAGGGTTCTGACTTGTGTAATGAGGGGCTGGAGGGAGGGTTTAGAAAGTGTGATGTCTGGTAAAAAGTAATGTCACAAACTGTATTTGAGCTGTCATTTTGCATTTTGAGAAGTCTGTTTTAGTAAATTGTAATAATTTACAGAGTTAATATTTTAGAAAACAACAGTATTTTAAAAAACAAAGACTACAATTTTAAGAGGGGTTGTAGTCTGTGGTGTAGTGTCAATTAAGGGGGTGGGGCTGGCTTTCTGTGACTCTGAAAAGAGAGCGAGGTAAAATTTGTTTTTAAAAAGCATGTCCTCATGTATATTATCATATTGCATGCTTACCTTGTATTAAATCTTTATATCTGTTATGCAGGTGATTACGTCATTTGATGAAATAGGTGAGCCAGGTGTCAAGGAGTTCAAGAGACTTTCCTTTGTCAACAAGATCTGCATCACCAAGGAGTATTTGGTGGGAGAGGGGGGAAATGTGGCGGCCGACGCCCCAGGTGTTATAAAGTCTATTGGAGCCAGGAAAGATGCTCAGGTATGTCTGGACCTTCTTTTTAATTCCAAACTTGTTTAAATTGCCATGGCAGGTGGATCTACCCACTGTCTACACCGCCAACAGCTTGACCACTGCTTCAGACCTCTATGGGCCACTGGACCTCTTGTATTCTACATGTGGTGTGTGAGAAAGTTACTGGATGTTTAATTACAAATTTGTGTTGACCAAAGGAAATCTTCAGCCACAAAAAAAAATTAAGCAAGAGTCAATGTTTTCAAGTGAATAGTTTAGGACTTAAAAATTGTGTTAAGCATCCTAAACATTTGGAACTTTATACATCTGAATGAAAGTATGATACTGCTGAATGAAATTATGATACTTAGTATGATGTTTAGTGTTTCGTGTCTTATCTGACATAGATGCACTAAAGTTGTATGTTATTAGATATATTATCAAGCTATTGTCCCATATAAAGTTGTTTGTAGTGTAATATATTATTAACCTTTTGTCCCATGCAGGTGGTGGTGCTGTGGATGAAGGATCCTCTCCCCTTGCTTGAGGCAGCCAGCAGTGATGACACCATCAGCAGTACCTTCCTGTTTATCGCCACGGACAAGTGGGGCGCTGACGCAGACTACCTGGCCAACCCCAAACTCTTTAACCTGCTCAAGTACAGAAACCTGGTCATTCTGGACGTGGAGACAGCTGATGTGCCAGAGTAAGTGGCTGGCAAGTCAGTGGTTTTGTGGGGAATTGTGTGGCAAGTCAGTGGTTTTGTGGGGAATTGTGTGGCAAGTCAGTGGTTTTGTGGGGAATCATGTGGCAAGTCAGTGGTTTTGTGGGGAGTCGTGTGGCAAGTCAGTGGTTTTATAGGGAATTGTGTGGCAAGTCAGTGGTTTTGTGGGGAATTGTGTGGCAAGTCAGTGGTTTTGTAGGGAGTCGTGTGACAAGTCAGTGGTTTTGTAGGGAGTCGTGTGACAAGTCAGTGGTTTTGTGGGGAATTGTGTGGCAAGTCAGTGGTTTTTTAGGGAATCATGTGGTTGGTACAGTGACCCCATGGTTTGATACAGTAGCTAAAGCTATGTAAAAGGATAGGGCTACAGTGAATTTAAAAGAATGGGGTTACAGTGAATTAGAACAGGGCTACAATGAATTTAAAAGAATAGAGCTACAATGAATTTAAAAGAATAGGGCTACAGTGAATTTAAAAGAATGGGGCTACAATGAATTTAAAAGAATAGGGCTATGGTGAACTTTAAACAATTGGGCTAAAGCTAATTTAAAAGACTGGGGCTTAAACCAATTTTAAAAAGTCCTATATAAATTGAAATTTTTATTTCAGCTATGATCGCTATCTGGAGTTCAAAACACCCAGCAACTATCTGGCCAACCCTTGGTTCAAAGATTTCTTTGAGAACCTACAGAACTGCTACTGGGACTCCCCTAGTGGCACACGTCTGGTCAAATGTGACCCTAGCTCCACCATACCGCGTGCTGATAACTACGTCCAGGACTCATACGTCTTGTATGTTATCAATGCTGTCTTCTCCGCTGCCATGGGCATACACAACGCCATCAAGTCTGTCTGTACGAGTAACACAGGTGCCTGCAACTTGTACGTAACTAGTGGTGAGAGGCGGCAAAAAGTTTTAACTGGCATCCTCAATGTAAGTTGACCTGGCCACAGGGAAGAATTTAAATTTAAAAAATCTGTTGTTGCTCCGAGCGTTAGAAACTAAATAAGTCGGTTCAAATATTCAATACTATATTGAAAGCTAGCTGCTTTTGATATTTAAGATTTTGACCAATTGAATGCAAATATCTTTGAAATTCCTCAATTATTGTTTCATTGAAACAATTTTAAAGTATCTTGACATATTAGCTTTATTCACACTAATGTGTCATCTCCCTTTAAAGACGTTGTTCTCTCCCCTTAGGTCAACTTTACAGATGACACCCACCAGCCCTTCTACTACACTGAAGATGGCCAGAGTTCCAGAGGTTTCCATGTCTACAACGTCACCTACACAGCTGATGCCAACAAACTCACACAGAGTGACTTTAGGTACCAAAATGTAAGTATGCTTAGTGTAAATCCCAGCTTAGAAAACTATATTCTCTCTCATTATCAATTACTATTTTTACTCAGAATTTAAACAAAAACTTTCTGAATGATTGTGATATAAAATACAAGATTGTTATTGTATTCCTATAATGTATAATCTGTATATTGTTACCATGATAATCTATATTGTAAAGCATTAACTAAAAAAAAAAACAGTAACAAAGATATGTTAAACATAAAATTAAACTTCATGGGCAAAGGATGCAAACAACTCTTCTTTTAGCAATACATAACTCTGTGTAGATTTGAAATAAAAAATGACATCATAACTAATCAATTAAATGCTATTCTAATCATAGGTGTAGCGAGGGGGGGGGGGTGTGCGGACTGCACTGGGTGACACCATTTAGGGGGGTGACACCAAGGCAAAAAATTGCAAAATATATAGAGAAAAACTTGAGAGGGGTGGTGCAAATCGAAAGTTTGAAAGTTTGTCCCCGGGAAGGGTCGCACGCCTCTGAGGGGTGACACCATTAAGTGCCGCACCGGGTGACACCCGACCTCGCTACGCCACTGATTCTAATCAATCTTTAAGTCCATGACACCCCCATTTATTTTTTGTATCTGTTCACCACAGGTGGGTTCCTATAATGACACCCATATAGACCCCACCCCCATTTATTTTTTGTATCTGTTCACCACAGGTGGGTTCCTATAATGACACCCATATAGACCCCACCCCCATTTATTTTTTGTATCTGTTCACCACAGGTGGGTTCCTATAATGACACCCATATAGACCCCCCCACCCTCCATTTATTTTTTGTATCTATTCACCACAGGTGGGTTCCTATAATGACACCCATTTCCTGAAGCTGGACATCACCTATGAGACCAGGTTCTCCGCCTCATGTGACGCCCCAAGAACTGATTCCAATGTAGCCGACTGTGTCTGCCTGTTCCCAACAGACCTGCCATCCAGGTTCATGAAAAAAGATGACGGGGGACGAGGCTTGAGCGTGGTTTACATTGGGGATGTACACCAACCTCACCCAACCAACCCACTGGCTTGTGGGGCTATCAACACTGGTAAGTTTTGTTTTCCTGCTACACACTGTAAGTTTACATTGGGGATGTCCACCAACCTCACCCGACCAACCCACTGGCTTGTGGGGCTATCAACACTGGTAAGTTTTGTCTTCATGTTACACACTGTAAGTTTACATTGGGGATGTACACCAACCTCACCCAACCAACCCACTGGTAAGTTTTGTTTTCCTGCTACACACTGTAAGTTTACATTGGGGATGTCCACCAACCTCACCCAACCAACCCACTGGCTTGTGGGGCTATCAACACTGGTAAGTTTTGTTTTCCTGCTACACACTGTATAGTAAGTTTCCCACTCTGGCCTGGTGCTCCGTAGAGCAGATGAAGTAGAGTTCTTTTGTTTCTGTGACCTCAGCATGTGAAGGGATAGTGTGGTCAGTACTTTGTCCAGTCACTTTTACTTTCCTGGGTGGACCCAGTGTTCCAACTTGGCAGTGTAAGCATGTGTGCTCTCTACTGTCCATTAATGCTGTCCCATCACACTGCCTATTGACTGCTGGTAAATTAATGAATCCTATCAACACATAGGAAAAAATAGTTTTATGTCTTTTTTTATTTAATTTTTTTAAAATTCAGTGTAAAAAAGTTGAAACTTGGATTTTATTTTAAAAAAATACTTTCAATGTTTATCCAGGTGTGGAACTTCAGAAGTTGCTGGCATTTTTCTACGCTGTTGATCGCATCAACACCAACAGCAACCAGAACCTTCCTGACTACATCAGGCTGGATGGTTTGGCCCTAGACAGCTGCACTCATGTAAGCTGTCTTGGTTACCTCACTTCTGTCTTGGTTACCTCACTTCTGTCTTGGTTACCTCACTTCTGTCTTGGTTACCTCACTTCTGTATTGGTTACCTCACTTCTGTCTTGGTTACCTCACTTCTGTCTTGGTTACCTCACTTCTGTCTTGGTTACCTCACTTCTGTATTGGTTACCTCACTTCTGTATTGGTTACCTCACTTCTGTCTTGGTTACCTCACTTCTGTATTGGTTACCTCACTTCTGTCTTGGTTACCTCACTTCTGTCTTGGTTACCTCACTTCTGTCTTGGTTACCTCACTTCTGTCTTGGTTACCTCACTTCTGTATTGGTTACCTCACTTCTGTATTGGTTACCTCACTTCTGTCTTGGTTACCTCACTTCTGTATTGGTTACCTCACTTCTGTCTTGGTTACCTCACTTCTGTCTTGGTTACCTCACTTCTGTCTTGGTTACCTCACTTCTGTCTTGGTTACCTCTACTCCAAGCAGTTATCTTCCTAGATATTACTTTCTTTCAAAAAAAAAATTTAAAACTCTGTTGGTTAGATAGACTATTACGGCAACAAATAAAGAAAACAATTAGAACTTGTTTCATCCATTACTTAATGTTCTAAAAATACAACTGCCACTTATTTTGATATTTTGTAACTCTCCTGTGTGTTGACCACAGGCTTTGAGGCTTGGCCAGGATGTGTACAACGTCCTCAGTGGCAACCAGCTGTGTGACTCTGACGACTACGGCCTCCTCATCCCCCCTGCCTCCATCGTGGCTTTTGTCATAGACAAAGATTCCAACACGCTGCCGGTCAGCAGCATGCTCCTGCAGGAGAGTAAGTCAACTTTGGTTTCCATCTGGTTTGGTAGCTGTTAAACACATGAGCTTTTTTTTTTGTTTGCTATGATTTTAGTGGCTTGTGTTCTAAGACCAATTTAGTATATATTCTAAGTTGACTAATTAATTAAATATTTTAAATGGTCAAGAAAAAAAATGTCTAAAGTTCTATCAGCTCTAAGCATGTATGAAATTTTTCAGAAATTTATGTTTATTTTTATTTTAAGTTATTGAATGTTATTAGAATTAATTAATTAAGATAGTATTGAGAATGATGTCTTATATGAATGTAAACTACATGCCAAGTGCTGTATGTAAGTCCACTGATTAACATTGATCCCCCTGACCAGAGATCACCAGTATATCTCCCACTGCTGGCAGTGCTCTGCTGAGTGACAGGATTCTCTACCCTTACTTCCTGCGCACCAGGGGAGACAACCTACTCACTGCCCAGATTATCCTCAATGTTGCCCAGCAGGCCAAGTGGGACTACCTCAGTGTCCTGTACTCAGACTCACTGGCATATCAGGGAGCTAAAGAGTCTCTCCTAGACAGGTAAGCACCAGAGTCTCTCCTAGACAGGTAAGCCTATACTCAGATTCCCGGCATATCAGGGAGCTAAAGAGTCTCTCCTAGACAGGTAAGCCTATACTCAGACTCACTGGCATATCAGGGAGCTAAAGAGTCTCTCCTTGACAGGTAAGCACCAACATCTCACTTAGACAGGTCAGATTCACAGACTATATTTCAGTGTGTGTGTTGTGACACAATCATTTAGTTGAATGCCTGTGTAAATGCTAATAAGCTAATGAAGTATTTGCTAGTATGGAACTAAATAAATTATTTAAAAGTTGGCAACTGAATGCATTTAAAACTGGTGCAATAAAAAAAAAACAAATGATTCAAATCTTTGCAAACAATTTTTATCTCAACCAGTTATAGAAGTATGAGATGATCTAAGAAATGTACCAATTTCCTCCTTACAGTTCAGAAGATCTTGGGGCTTGTGTGGGGGATGCCGTGCCACTCCCCATGAATGCTACACTAGCTGACGCTGAACTGGCATTAAACAGAATCAGTCAGCAGGTAGGACTTTGTTTTGTTTTTTGTGTGGGGATTCTCTTGTAAAAATGTCAAGTCCTTTTTTTGATTCTCTTGTATAGATGTCCAATGTCTTGTAATTTGTGTGTTGAATCTCTTGTATAGATGTCCAATGTCTTGTAATTTGTGTGTTGAATCTCTTGTATAGATGTCCAATGTCTTGTAATTTGTGTGTTGATTCTCTTGTATAGATGTCCAATGTCTTGTAATTTGTGTGTTGAATCTCTTGTATAGATGTCCAATGTCTTGTAATTTGTGTGTTGATTCTCTTGTATAGATGTCCAATGTCTTGTAATTTGTGTGTTGATTCTCTTGTATAGATGTCCAATGTCTTGTAATTTGTGTGTTGATTCTCTTGTATAGATGTCCAATGTCTTGTACTAAAAATGTTTTTAAAAAATGTTGTTGCCAGGTTGGAGCCCGGGGTGTTGTGCTGTTTGTGGAGCCCAACCACCTGAAACTGCTGATGCAGGCCACACAGTCTCTTGGTTTGACTGGCAGATTTGTCTGGGTCCTGCCCTATGACTTTACAACTGATCCAAACTTTCTGCTGGGCTATGAGCAGGAGGTAAACAAATGGTGTACTCCAGCTAACACTCTTTCTGTATTACAGTAACACCCCACCACTCCCTTCCCAGATCAATGTAACTTTGAATAATCTTTTAAATATAAAATATGTACTTAGTTTAGAGGCTTTAAAAAATAAAGAATAAACCAAATTTTATTTTAAAAATAACCCTGACCTTTCTTACCAATGTAGCTGGCTGGGTCTCTCATTATTGAGCCTCGCTCTGCTTTTGTGGATGACTTCAAGAGATACCTCAAGAACAACCTGAGCTACAAGAACAAAGCTGTCAGCAAGATCCCATCTGATTGGTTCCAGGAGATCTACGAGACCCTCCACCAGTGTAATATCCTGGACATTGAGGTACATCATGTCCATGTCAACACAATGTCCACTAGACTTTTTAACACAATATCCAATAGATACTTCAACACAATGTCCACTAGACACTTGGACACATTGTCCAATAGATACTTTTAACACAATGTCTACCAGACACTTCAATCTACCATACTTTAAAATGTTTACTTTAAAAAAGAAATGTATAACTTTATAAAAGTATTTTGACAATTAGTTTTTCAAATTTGATTACAAGACTACCTCTTAATATTAGGAAACTAAATTCATTATTCTCTCCTGTGAGTATTTCAGTGAATTTATGTAAACAACTGACTTTTATTTGTGAAGCAATTAGATAGTGATAGTAATCTCTATGATACAGTTAAAACTAATGTGTCTGTCTGTACTTGCGTATTGCAGAAGCCAAGTGTGATGAAGTACTCCAAGATCTGCACCGGGGATGAGGACATCTCAGATGCCATGATACCCCAGGACCCCAGCATTCTGCATGTCATCATCAGCGTCTACTCCATCGCCTTTGGGCTGACCCGGGTGGATGAATGCAAGGCCGCCACACTGGACATTGCTGCCTGCCTGCAGCTACTGCCCAACAGGAATGACCTCATCTACCAGGGCATATCTGGCGTCTATTTTAGGGTAAGTCAATAAGGCTTTTATTCTAGTAAACTTTACTAGGCTTGTTTAATTAGCTTTACAAGGCTTGTGTAGTTAGCTTTACAAGGCTTGTGTAGTTAGCTTTACAAGACTTGTGTAGTTAGCTTTACAAGACTTGTGTAGTTAGCTTTACAAGACTTGTGTAGTTAGCTTTACAAGACTTGTGTAGTTAGCTTTACAAGACTTGTGTAGTTAGCTTTACAAGGCTTGTTTATTTATCTTTAGCTGTCCAGAGCTTAGTATAGAATAAAAAACATTCCAAGCTATTTCTGGTAACATGATAAGGTCGTAGTTCACCAGATATTTAACAGATGCTGAAGTTCAACATTGGAATATTTTGTGATTTGTCTGTATTGAAATGTCTATAACTTTTAAATACAGCTGTTATGTGTGGTTAAGTTCACGTTCCAATTGTATGAGCAGCTGGTGATGTGATGTGTGTAGCCCCCACTGTGACATTGTACCATATTGTGACCTTGAACCATGTATGATGTCATACTTGCAGGTGCTGCCAGAGCTACTGGGAGACCAGAGCTTCTTCTTCCAGTTTGACCAAAATGAAAATGGAAATGCTGGTTATGTAATCAAGAACTACCAAGTTAGCCCGGTAGCCCCCAACCCTTACATTGCTAGGGAGGTGAGTAGCCCTGTAGCCCCCCCCCCCCCCCCCCAACCCTTACATTGCTAGGGAGGTGAGTAGCCCTGTAGCCCCCCCCCCCCCCCCCAACCCTTACATTGCTAGGGAGGTGAGTAGCCCTGTAGCCCCCCCCCCCCCCCCCCCCCACCCCCCGAACCCTTACATTGCTAGGGAAGTGAGTGATCTGGTTCCTTCCTAGCATTGAGAACACATTTTCTAAGGTTCATTGTTGACAAGAGAGTAGGCTTAGCAAGAATTAAATACCTTAGTCTCTAATAGAGCATTAAATAACTGCTCATAGAGTGAGAGAACTGATTTTTGTATTAAAGTAAAACTACTTTTTAAAGTTTAATCATGTAACACCTAGTACATAGTTTATTACTCCTTATTTACATTTGTTGGAACAGGTGTTCTACCTTTATGTTTTTTACCTTATGTCTGACAGATTGGAACGTACACAACAAAAGGACTAGACATCAACCTAGGCCAGTACGCCGCAGGGAACCTGTATAGTCGAGGCTCTGTACCTGCGTCTCTCTGTGCTGCAGGCACGGTGTGTACATGTCAGCTGACCAGTGACAGGAGCTGGAAGTACCAGCCTGTGTCTATATCTGATCCTGACAGTGTCAAGGTCAGTCTATCTCTCAAAATTTTTCTTAGCATTTCAAGCTCTTCATGTATGGGCTCAGTTGTTTTTTTTACTCTCTGGAATTTTGATCTCAATGTGTTGAACTCAATGTTTAAAGATTTTCTATAATATAGTTCAGCTCATTTATTTTATACAACTATATATATTGTAATTCCTAAAACTGACGACACAGGTATAATAAAGTCTAACCGTATCTTTATGCTCTTGAACTGCAGATGGAGACAATTACTGGTGTATATTAAACAGGACCTGATATTTAAATTTATTGATCCAACTATTTTCTTTCCTTTGGTAAACAGGTGGGAGGTATTTACATCGACCCCGCCACCAACCAACAGGTCAAAGTTGAGAGTGTGCCAGCCATTGGAGACAGATTCCCTCAAGCCTGGGCCATCATCCTGTCCGTCCTGGCTGCCCTGGGTGCTGCTATCTCTCTGGGGATCTTCATCTACCTGCTGATCATGTACCCCGTGCGTGGCGGCACCTCCATCCTGGGCTACATCCTGTCCTTTGGCATCATCTTCCTCTACCTCATGGTCTTCCCCTTCATCGCACACGCCGAGGAGAGAATGTGTGGACTGAGGAGGTTCGGCCTAGGTCTGGTCTACGCTATAGTGTACTCAGCCCTTATGGTCAAGCTGGTAGACTGCTGGAGGGTGCGGGGGAAAGATGACACATACAGTGCCAAGTACAGCAAACTGGGTCGCCCGGTTGGCCTTTTCCTGGTCACTGTCTTCTTTGTCCTGGTACAGGTAAGAAATGTTAGGCTTTTTTACTTGTACAGGTACAATTTGACCAGACTTTCTCCTGGTACAAGTAAGAAATGTTAGGCTTTTTTACTTGTACAGGTACAATTTGACCTGACTTTGTCCTGGTACAGGTAAGAAATGTTAGGCTTTTTTACTTGTACAGGTACAATTTGACCAGACTTTGTCCTGGTACAGGTAAGAAATGTTAGGCTTTTTTACTTGTACAGGTACAATTTGACCAGACTTTGTCCTGGTACAGGTAAGAAATGTTAGGCTTTTTTACTTGTACAGGTACAATTTGACCAGACTTTGTCCTAGTACAGGTAAGAAATGTTAGGCTTTTTTACTTGTACAGGTACAATTTGAGCAGACTTTGTACTTTTACAGGTAAGAAATGTTAGGCTTTTTTACTTGTACAGGTACAATTTGAGCAGACTTTGTACTTTTACAGGTAAGAAATGTTAGGCTTTTTTACTTGTACAGGTACAATTTGAGCAGACTTTGTACTTTTACAGGTAAGAAATGTTAGGCTTTTTTACTTGTACAGGTACAATTCGACCAGACTTTGTCCTGGTACATGTAAGAAATGTTAGGCTTTTTTACTTGTACAGGTACAATTCGACCAGACTTTGTCCTAGTACAGGTAAGAAATGTTAGGCTTTTTTACTTGTACAGGTACAATTCGACCAGACTTTGTCCTGGTACAAGTAAGAAATGTTAGGCTTTTTTACTTGTACAGGTACAATTCGACCAGACTTTGTCCTGGTACATGTAAGAAATGTTAGGCTTTTTTACTTGTACAGGTACAAACAATTTGGCCTGACTTTGTACTTGTATTATTGCAAAAACAATTTAGCCAGAATTTGTACTTGTCCGAATTTTTTAAAGGACAAAATTGATGACAAACAAGTTAATTTTCTTTTGAATTGTGGGTATTTGGTCTGCGTGTAAGTGAGGGGGGGGGGGATTTGTGACATGGCTGATGTGGTCTGCTATTTGTGCCTATAGTGTGGGAGAAGTGGTGTAACATTTATGGATGACCCCATATACATGGTCGGGATTCAGTATAGACATACTCATGATTGTGTACAAAACGTGTGTGGATAGATTGTGTACAAAATGCTTGTGGCATAAGATTGTGTAGAAAGTGCTTGTGTCATTAGATTGTATAGAAAGTGCTTCTGTCCCTAGGTGATCATCAACACAGAGTGGCTGATCCTGGAACCCCCCACAGTGACCAGAATCTTCTACAACAACCAGTACTGGCCTCGCTGCTCACCTGATGACTTCTATGATGAAGGCCTGGTGCTCTCTCTTGTCTACATCATGGTCATCATATTCTTCTCTCTCATTGTTGGCCTCTTATCATACTCATCGTAAGTATGCACTACAGCAGAGATTCACAAACTTTTAGTTGCCTCTCTGATATATACACATACATGTGAGTGAGTTGTTTTTATGTAAGGTAGTTGTCATTTTTGGATGTAGTTCAGTCCATGAAATCGTGCTATAAAACAAGCTGTGTACATGATATAATAAATGTTGACTACCCCCAGGAGCAAGAACCACCGTGAGGCTCGCTGGATACTTGGCATCCTGATTCTAAGTGTGCCCTGCTGGGTCATCTGGTGCTCTGTGTCCATCATTGGCGCCATCAAGGTGCGGGACGCTGCCGTGTGTGTTGGGCTGCTGGTGAACGCCACAGTGATGCTGGTGATGGTGCCGGTCAGGAAGTTGTACCTGCTGCACACCTACAACGCCATGATAGAGGTGGAGGAGGAGCAGGCGGACACCAGGAGTCATCTCAATGGCAGCCATAAAGGTGGGTCTAGCAGCCATAAAGGTGGGTCTAGCAGCTATAAAGGTGGGTCTAGCAGCCATAAAGGTGGGTCTATCAGCCATAAAGGTGGGTCTAGTAGCCATAAAGGTGGGTCTAGCAGCCATAAAGGTGGGTCTTATAGCCATAAAGGTGGGTCTAGCAGCCATAAAGGTGGGTCTAACAGCCATAAAGGTGGGTCTAACAGCCATAAAGGTGGGTCTAGCAGCCAGATAGGTGGATCTAACAGCCATAAAGGTGGGTCTAGCAGCCATAAAGGTGGGTCTAGCAGCCATAAAGGTGGGTCTAGCAGCCATAAAGGTGGGTCTAGCATCCATATAGGTGGGTCTAGCAGCCATAAAGGTGGGTCTAGCAGCCATAAAGGTGGGTCTGGCAGCCATATAGGTGGGTCTAGCAGCCATAAAGGTGGGTCTAGCAGCCATAAAGGTGGGTCTAGCAGCCATATAGGTGGGTCTAGCAGCCATATAGGTGGGTCTAGCAGCCAGATAGGTGGATCTAACAGCCATAAAGGTGGGTCTAGCAGCCATAAAGGTGGGTCTAGCAGCCAGATAGGTGGGTCTAACAGCCATAAAGGTGGGTCTAGCATCCATATAGGTGGGTCTAGCAGCCAGATAGGTGGGTCTAACAGCCATAAAGGTGGGTCTAGCAGCCATATAGGTGGGTCTAGCAGCCAGATAGGTGGGTCTAGCAGCCAGATAGGTGGGTCTAACAGCCATAAAGGTGGGTCTAGCAGCCATATAGGTGGGTCTAGCAGCCATAAAGGTGCGTCTAGCAGCCATAAAGGTGGGTCTAGCAGCCATGTAAGTGGGTCTAACAGCCATTAAGGTGGGTCTAGCAGCCATAAAGGTGGGTCTAGCAGCCATAAAGGTGAGTCTGGCAGTCTCAAAGGTGGGTCTAGCAGCCATAAAGGTGGGTCTAGCAGCCATAAAGGTGGGTCTAACAGCCATAAAGGTGGCTCTAGCAGCCATAAAGGTGGGTCTAGCAGCCATATAGGTGAGTCTGGCAGTCTCAAAGGTGGGTCTAACAGCCATAAAGGTGGGTCTAGCAGCCATAAAGCTGGGTCTAACAGCCGTAAAGGTGGGTCTAGCAGCCATAAAGGTGGGTCTAACAGCCATAAAGGTGGGTCTAGCAGCCATAAAGGTGGGTCTGGCAGTCTCAAAGGTGAGTCTGGCAGCCATAAAGGTGGGTCTAGCAGCCATAAAGGTGGGTCTAGCAGCCATAAAGGTGGGTCTAGCAGCCATAAAGGTGGGTCTAGCAGCCATATAGGTGGGTCTAGCAGCCATATAGGTGGGTCTAGCAGCCATATAGGTGGGTCTAACAGCCATAAAGGTGGGTCTAGCAGCCATAAAGGTGGGTCTAGCAGCCATAAAGGTGGGTCTAGCAGCCATAAAGGTGGGTCTAGCAGCCATAAAGGTGGGTCTAACAGCCATAAAGGTGGGTCTAACAGCCATAAAGGTGGGTCTAGCAGCCATAAAGGTGGGTCTAACAGCCATAAAGGTGGGTCTAACAGCCATAAAGGTGGGTCTAGCAGCCATAAAGGTGGGTCTAACAGCCATAAAGATGGGTCTAACTGTCTCAATGGCAGCCACAAAGGTGGGTCTAACAGCCATAAAGGTGGGTCTAACAGCCATAAAGGTGGGTCTAGCAGCCATAAAGGTGGGTCTAACAGCCATAAAGGTGGGTCTAACAGCCATAAAGGTGGGTCTAGCAGCCATAAAGGTGGGTCTAACAGCCATAAAGATGGGTCTAACGGTTTCAATGGCAGCCACAAAGGTGGGTCTAACAGCCATAAAGGTGGGTCTAACAGCCATAAAGGTGGGTCTAGCAGCCATAAAGGTGGGTCTAACAGCCATAAAGGTGGGTCTAACAGCCATAAAGGTGGGTCTAGCAGCCATAAAGGTGGGTCTAACAGCCATAAAGATGGGTCTAACGGTCTCAATGGCAGCCATAAAGGTGGGTCTAACAGCCATAAAGGTGGGTCTAGCAGCCATAAAGGTGGGTCTGGCAGTCTCAAAGGTGAGTCTGGCAGCCATAAAGGTGGGTCTAGCAGCCATAAAGGTGGGTCTAGCAGCCATAAAGGTGGGTCTAGCAGCCATAAAGGTGGGTCTAGCAGCCATATAGGTGGGTCTAGCAGCCATATAGGTGGGTCTAACAGCCATAAAGGTGGGTCTAGCAGCCATAAAGGTGGGTCTAGCAGCCATATAGGTGGGTCTAGCAGCCATATAGGTGGGTCTAACAGCCATAAAGGTGGGTCTAGCAGCCATAAAGGTGGGTCTAGCAGCCATAAAGGTGGGTCTAGCAGCCATAAAGGTGGGTCTAGCAGCCATAAAGGTGGGTCTAGCAGCCATAAAGGTGGGTCTAACAGCCATAAAGGTGGGTCTAACAGCCATAAAGGTGGGTCTAGCAGCCATAAAGGTGGGTCTAACAGCCATAAAGGTGGGTCTAACAGCCATAAAGGTGGGTCTAGCAGCCATAAAGGTGGGTCTAACAGCCATAAAGATGGGTCTAACGGTCTCAATGGCAGCCACAAAGGTGGGTCTAACAGCCATAAAGGTGGGTCTAACAGCCATAAAGGTGGGTCTAGCAGCCATAAAGGTGGGTCTAACAGCCATAAAGGTGGGTCTAACAGCCATAAAGGTGGGTCTAGCAGCCATAAAGGTGGGTCTAACAGCCATAAAGATGGGTCTAACGGTCTCAATGGCAGCCACAAAGGTGGGTCTAGCAGCCATAAAAGCTGGGTCTAAGGAAAATGGTCCTTATTGTTAGACCCTCCATTTTATTTACCCATATAAACCCAGTATTAAAATCAACCAGTTTTACAAAACAATCAACCACAAACTTACCTAACATGAATGATATGTGGTGCAGGTGGTGACCACAGCTCCGTGGTGTATGGAAGACAGTATGACAACAACCCAAGACTACATGATAGAGACTCACAACTCTACAGTAAGTTCTCATTTTTTTTACTGAAAGAACTGTACTTCACTATACAGTTATCATAGTTCATGTGGTATGTTAATAAATGTTTGAAATAATTTCAAAACATACTTTTCTTACCTCCTTATAATCTACTATTAGAGTACATTTTAACTTAAAATTTTGCATCGTTTTTCACTCCAGGTAAAGGTGACTTTTAGTTGAATGATGAAGGTGAAGTTTTGTGATCTCGTCTCAACTTTGGGTTTGTTTGTTTTGATATGCAGCAGGATTTTGTTTTTAGAATACAATTTCCATTCTGTATGAAATACAATTCTGTTTTTGGGCTTTAGAAACAAAAGAAGAAAATTTGAAATGATGATGATTTACTTTTATTATTTTATTTCCTAATATGTTAAAAAATACTTACCGTACAAACATATTAAAACTGTTATCTTTTATGATTGATAATAATTTATTAAGTAGAATTATCCTATGCAAAAAGTTGTTTTATATGAAATATTGATTGTTGCAGCCTACAAACTGTATGACACAAAGTATGTTGTTTTGTTTGTTTGTTTTTTGCTTTTTACAATGTAACTATCAGATATCCCATTTTTTAAGGTTCTGTGTGTGATGGATAAGTGATAAATGTAAATGTGTGCTACAGTCTTTATTAAAATGTGTCTGTAGCTGTTTGTGTAAACATGCCAGATTTTTCTGAGTTTTTTGGAAAATTAGACTTCTAATGTATTTCATAATCCAACTTAGCTCCACATATTGATGTCAGAAAGTATGTTTGAACAAGATTTACTTAAAAAATTGTTGGTCTACAGATGTAGTTTAAAAAAAAAATATTATTATATACAGTTACCAGAGAGAATCTGGATTTAATGATTAACTTTTCATGTTTGTGTCAAAAAATTCATTTTATTTTTTTAACATTTGTTAACTGTTAGTACTTTTATAGGCAAATTGTCATCTCTGTTTACATCTGTTTTGTAATGAACTCTATTGAAGAATTAAAATACTGATTGCTCAATACTTTCACAATTTTATGAAATTAAAATTTTGGGATCTATTGGGTTAAAATTCTGTAATCTGTTAAACCTGATAAAATGGTTTTAGAATTTAAAGACCCACTTTTTGTATGAGTTCATGAAAAGTTTTAAAAAGTAGTAGTTAAAATATGTAACAATTTTGTATGTGATATACTTTCATTTCTAAAAGAAAAACGTGTATATTTTTAAAATTTCAGCTTTTAGTTATCCTAATTCTTTTTATATTATTGTATGTCATTTCTATTTAAACAAAAAATGTCCTATACATAAGAATATTTTTTTTCCATTTGTATTTCAACTGTTTCTGGTGTAATGATGTAAAGAGACCTCCATCTTGTGCACACCAGTCTTTGTAAATATAAACTGACTCAGCTTTTGTTTACACATTAGGTTTGTATAGCCACTTTCATCATCTTTTGTACTGTTACAGAAAAATATATTTATAAATAATATATCGATAAACCACTTAGAGTTGTGTTGATGTGTGGTCAAGTTGTGGTGTGAATGTCACAGGTTTGGTGTTCATGTCATGTGGACAGGTTTGGATGTCAAGTCTACACAGGTTTGGTGTGGATGTCATATGGACACAGGTTTGGTGTGGATGTCATGTGGACACAGGTTTGGTGTGGATGTCATGTGGAAACATGTTTGGTGTGGATGTCATGTGGACACAGGTTTGGTGCGGATGTCATGTGGACACAGGTTTGGTGTGGATGTCATGTGGAAACAGGTTTGGTGTGGATGTCATGTGGAAACATGTTTGGTGTGGATGTCATGTGGACACAGGTTTTGTGTGGATGTCATGTGGACACAGGTTTGGTGTGGATGTCATGTGGACACAGGTTTGGTGTGGATGTCATGTGGAAACAGGTTTGGTGTGGATGTCATGTGGACACAGGTTTGGTGTGGATGTCATGTGGACACAGGTTTGGTGTGGATGTCATGTGGTCACAGGTTTGGTGTGGATGTCATGTGCACACAGGTTTGGTGTGGATGTCATGTGGACACAGGTTTGGTGTGGATGTCATGTGGACACAGGTTTTGTGTGGATGTCATATGGACACAGATTTGGTGTGGATGTCATGTGGACACAGGTTTGGTGTGGATGTCATGTGGACACAGGTTTGGTGTGGATGTCATGTGGACACAGGTTTGGTGTGGATGTCAAGTGGACACAGGTTTGGTGTGGATGTCATGTGGACACAGGTTTGGTGTGGATGTCATGTGGAAACAGGTTTGGTGTGGATGTCATATGGACACAGATTTGGTGTGGATGTCATGTGGACACAGGTTTGGTGTGGATGTCATGTGGACACAGGTTTGGTGTGGATGTCATGTGGACACAGGTTTGGTGCGGATGTCATGTGGACACAGGTTTGGTGTGGATGTCATGTGGACACAGGTTTGGTGTGGATGTCATGTGGACACAGGTTTGGTGTGGATGTCATGTGGACACAGGTTTGGTGTGGATGTCATGTGGACACAGGTTTGGTGTGGATGTCATGTGGACACAGGTTTGGTGTGGATGTCATGTGGACACAGGTTTGGTGTGGATGTCATGTGCACACAGGTTTGGTGTGGATGTCATGTGGACACAGGTTTGGTGTGGATGTCATGTGGAAACAGGTTTGGTGTGGATGTCATATGGACACAGATTTGGTGTGGATGTCATGTGGACACAGGTTTGGTGTGGATGTCATGTGGACACAGGTTTGGTGTGGATGTCATGTGGACACAGGTTTGGTGTGAATGTCATGTGGACACAGGTTTGGTGTGGGTGTCATGTGGACACAGGTTTGGTGTGGATGTCATGTGGACACAGGTTTGGTGTGGGTGTCATGTGGACACAGGTTTGGTGTGGATGTCATGTGGACACAGGTTTGGTGTGGATGTCATGTGGTCACAGGTTTGGTGTGGATGTCATGTGTACACAGGTTTGGTGTGGATGTCATGTGGACACAGGTTTGGTGTGGATGTCATGTGGACACAGGTTTGGTGTGGATGGCATGTGGACACAGGTTTGGTGTGGATGTCATGTGGACACAGGTTTGGATGTCATGTGGACACAGGTTTGGATGTCATGTGGAGACAGGTTTGGTGTGGATGTCATATGGACACAGGTTTGGTGTGGATGTCATATGGACACAGATTTGGTGTGGATGTCATGTGGTCACAGGTTTGGTGTGGATGTCATGTGTACACAGGTTTGGTGTGGATGTCATGTGGACACAGGTTTGGTGTGGATGTCATGTGGACACAGGTTTGGTGTGGATGGCATGTGGACACAGGTTTGGTGTGGATGTCATGTGGACACAGGTTTGGATGTCATGTGGACACAGGTTTGGATGTCATGTGGAGACAGGTTTGGTGTGGATGTCATATGGACACAGGTTTGGTGTGGATGTCATGTGGACACAGGTTTGGTGTGGATGTCATGTGGACACAGGTTTAGATGTCATGTGGACACAGGTTTAGTGTGGATGTCATGTGGACACAGATTTGGTGTGGATGTCATATGGACACAGGTTTGGTGTGGATGTCATGTGGACACAGGTTTGGTGTGGATGTCATGTGGAAACAGGTTTGGTGTGGATGTCATATGGACACAGATTTGGTGTGGATGTCATGTGGACACAGATTTGGTGTAAATGTCATATGGACACAGGTTTGGTGTGGATGTCATGTGGACACAGGTTTAGTGTGGATGTCATGTGGACACAGGTTTGGTGTGGATGTCATGTGGACACAGGTTTAGTGTGGATGTCATGTGGACACAGGTTTGGTGTGGATGTCATGTGGACACAGGTTTGGTGTGGATGTCATGTGGACACAGGTTTAGTGTGATGTCATGTGGACACTTTCAGAAAGGCCAACTTCAGTGTTTTTGTCTTTATCAGAAGTTACGAAATATCCCTTTACAGCGCCTCAACCTCTACATGCCCCCCCCCCCCCCCCCACCCGTTCATCACATCAACCTCATGTAGTGGCATGTAAGTATTGAATCATTGTTAATGATTCCAAAGGAATGCTGTCGTGCTATTGTGGTCGTCTATACATGATCTTACTGTCACGCCCAACTTTAATTACATCACACCCAACTCCAATTTTCTACATAGGCGTGACGTCATTTATGCACAATACACCTCCCCCCCCCCCCTTTTCACACGTCTGTTAATTAACTCCCATTAGGGAAGACTGCTCGGTGTAAGTTAATTACTCTTAGCCATTATGATAATATTTTGAGCAACAGAAGTAGCACTACGTATTACGCCTACTTTTGTTTAGCCATATGCTTGTTCCCAGTAACGTAATACCTACTATGCGACAATACACAGTATCTTTATCTATTGGTGTGTAGATAACAAAGATATTTCTAGCTAATGTAGACAAAGACACAACAAAATCAATTGTAGTCCCCCCACCCTCCCCCTCCTCAGCTGCGGTTGTGGCTTCCCTTTGTTGAGGCAACATGTGGTGATCGACCCCGCAGCAGACATTTCGCATCTGTTACGACAGTTACGTCCCCTTAAAACTACACGCCTCGCTGGTTTGTGAATTGTAGATAGTTAACTGTCCATAGATTTCTAGACTAAGACACGAATACACGTTTTCTATTTTTAAAAACCGGGGGGTGGGGGGGGGGGGGGGCTATTTAAGGACACCCGGTGCTAGTGGTCGTATCATATCATATTGTTATCTGTAATATCACGATGATAAGTACTGAGAAAAATGTGAAGAAACTTGTATGGTATGGTAAGAGTAAGACAGAAGCAATCAGTGGTAACGTCATTAATACTCATTATGGACGACCTGATGACGGTAAAATGATAAGTCGATTTACAACAATTGATGACATCATTAGTAGACCACTCCCATACTGTCCACGTACTTTTTATTTATCAAGATCTAGATCTAGAAACTATGCCTGTAACTATAATAGATCTAGATAGTTCGTAACTTATTATTTCAAAATACGTTGCAGTTCGGCTCCGGTCTCAAAATTTATAGAGATCTTGGGTTTTTTTGTTTTTTTTTTTAAATTGTGAATGTCAGGCAGTTAGGGCCTACTGGATGTAGCCTTGGCTATAATTAGAATGTATATTTACACTTTCCTATCGTAGCTTTAAAAAATGACGCTGTACATTACCACGTCAGCTGGTTGCTGCAATATTATTAGTACCTTTCATCATGCGGGTTTTTTTCCCCGTCTTTTTAGGACATAGCCTACAGTAAGTACCATCAAAATGTTTTTGTATAACAATTCTGTTTTTTTATTTTATTTTAAGTTTATTTGCGATAACTTTGATTTTAATAATGTACATAAAAATATTATCCAAACTAGCTCAAAACAATACATCATATGCTATTACTAGCTTTCGGTGTACATTATTTCATGGATGTATTTTGGAGCTTTACAGTATATGGTACTAAAAATAAACTAGGCCTAAACCTGTTCAATGTCTAATCACGTGAGTGTGACGTCACGTAGCTTTCGTCCAATCAAGTAGCACCACATCAGCTAACATCCAGATACTTTACTGGAAGCCGAGAGTAAAACAAGATGCCTTGATATTAAGCAAATTTTAAGTAATCGCCATTAAACGGCATATTTTAGATGTTGATTGGAAACGACATAGGATTTTGAAAATGTCAGCGATAGCTTCAAATACGATTGTTATTACGGCCTATCCTGGAAAACATGGTACAATAAACATGTCCAGAAGTGCCGAGTATTCTCTCCTGGATACCGTCGATTTTGACAGTGACGACAGTAACTCCAGTGGAGCGGGAGGACCAAAAAAAAGGCGACGATTAACCCATTTGTCACCTGACGAAAAATTGTTAAGACGGTAAGGAAGATCAATATTCTTTCTTAATTTGTTACCGGACCTACGCGGTAGGCCTAGCTAGGTGAGCAGAGTAATAAAGTTGAATTTTTAAAAATAACAAACCAGGAAATGTAAATATGGCGGCTCATTATTGATCAGACCCTTTAAGCCACTTTAAGGCTAAGTTCAGTAAGTTGTCCTAAGTTCTCAACCCACTTTAAGGTTTAAACTAGATCTACGAAATAAACGACTTACTTTTCTTACAGTACTTTACTGGATTTAACTGTTAACACTAACACACCAATGACACCAAACTTTATAAACCACATTAGTTTATTAGATCTAGATAATCTAGAATCTATTCTTACTAATCTAGATCTAGATCTACTTAGTAGATCTAGATTCTAGATAGATAGAGTCTAGATAGTATCATTTCCACTTGTTTTATTATTAATAATTTTTTAATATCTAGATCTAGATTTAAATGCATCTAGATCTAAAATCTAGATCTAGTTGAAAACAAAAATTGCCTAGTCCCTTCATTGATTTTAAAATAAAGCTGGCCTGTTTAGATACAATAAATCAAGGCTGGATACTGGATAGTTTTATTAAATTTACAATGCATTTTTTTTTCTGCAGGAAGTTAAAAAATCGTGTAGCAGCACAGACAGCTAGAGACAGAAAAAAGGCTCTAATGGTAGAGCTGGAAGAAAAAGTTGCCAAATTAGAAGAGGAGAACAAGCTGTTGAAAAAACAAAATTGCACCCTGAAAGAAACTTCTAGCAGTTTAGCTAAAGAAAATGCAGCACTTAAATCTAGGCTAAGTGATACCCCAGTGCCCTCCATCAAGACAGAAACTGATACCTATAGGTAATTTATTTGTATTCATTAAGGGGCTACATGGTTCTTACATTGTATTTTCTGTTGCAATATTTTAATGTTTGCAATTTTATTCTTTACAGGTCCGCAGCACCTGCTGTTCCTCTGCCGAAGGAACAGGTACAGATTCTGTCTCGGTGGATGGTCTGCACTTTGGTGATAACTCTCAGGTATACATTTATTACTTTTCATTTTTGTTGGTTTGTAATGCAGTTTCTCTTCTCCCCCACTTACGGTTGGAACTATTTAAAAATGATTGACTGATGTTTGTTTTGTTTTTTTAATCTGTTCCTTTTCATGCAGGGAAGATGTATAACATTTTTTTTTTACAGCCTGATGATATCTTCTGCCTGCTACAAGAACTTTCAGAAAATGGGGAATGTGAGCAGTCGCAAGAGAAAGCAATCACACCCATCTCGGAGAGTGTCAGTGGAGGAATCATCACTGATTCAAGCAACGGAACCAACAACAGAATCCCTACACCTAGAATGGTGGGGCTCTCATCAGCGGAGCTGGAATCCCTCAACGAATTAATTCAAATAGACCATGTTTATGTAAAACCTCAGCCCTTGATTCAAATAGGAGGGAAAGAAGGACAGCATAAGTACACTGCAGCTGTTTTGAAACTAGAAAATAATGGCAGCATTGTTCCAACATCAAATAAGCCAGTGGCTTTGTCAGGGTTGAAAAGAAACCACACAGGAGATGTTGTTGGCTCTGTGCCTCAACCAGCTGAGCCAGTCACAGTTTCTATAATAGGACCTTCACCCTTGGACTTAGGCAGAATAAATGCCAACACCACGACTGTGGTGGCACCATCTTCTGTATCCAATGAGACTCTAAATCTAGAGGAATCTGAATTCATCAACACACTTTCAGACTCTGACATGGAAACATCTCTCAACTTTTTCCAGGACTTCAATATAGATTTAATTCAATCTAATTGTGACACTGAAGTCAACAAATCCAGCAATATCTCAAACTCTTTTTTCAATCTTTTACAAAACACACAACTGGAAGATTTGACAACAGAAAAAGATTTGAATGCCACAAAATTGTTTGATGAGATATATGAACACTATTTGAGTATCAAAGATTCATCACTTAACTCCCCTGACTCTCACAGTGACTCAGGTATTAGCAGTGATATTGATCCCTTGTCTCCACAAAGCAGTGAAGGAGAGTTCATCAATGACCAGTTAATGTGGCAAGACACCAGCTTTGCAGATTTGTTTCCTGATCTTCAGTAATTCACCTACTGATTATTAATTGTACATTATTGTAAATTACAAGTTCAAATTTTTATTGGAAAATATTCCTTTGGTAAAATGTATATTTAATCCTTTACAGCCGAGCCTAAAATAAAAAAAAAGTTGATTGGAGAGTTTGTTTTATACATTTAAAAATGTAGGCTTATTCAAACATCTTTTTTTTTTCCACTTTTAATTCAGTAATAGTTACTGATCAGATGAGTGTTGGGCTGTAAAGGGTTAAATTACTAAAAAAAAAAGTTAGTAGGAATAGCATTTCAAAACCTTAAATTGTGATATAAATTATCATTTTGACCATTGTACTCTAGTAGAGTTCAGTTGACTTGAATCATTGAAATCATTTCTCCATTTAGAAAAATGGAGATTACGCATTTGATCATGGGGGAAGCTGGGAGGTTTAAATGATGATCTTCTCAATGTACAGTGTTCAATGTATTCATTCATTGTTGTAATGTGAAGCTCCTGTGGGATGTCCAGCAATGAGCTCATTGTTTGACCTGCTACAGGTGTTTGTTTTGTGTCATACATCCGATGATGTTGCTGTAATACATATGCTCTCCTATTTCTCTCTTGATGTTTTACTTGTGACATTACTTCACAAAATGAACATTAAAATATTTTAAAGGGCTGACATCTGTTGGTTTTTTTTTTCTTACTGGGTAATAAGTATGTATATATAAAGTGGTAGAAGTGTTAATCTAACTTATAGGCGGTTTTTAAAAGGTAAATTTAGTCTTACTTCATTCCTGTTCGCCAGTGAACATTGAACAACTTTTGTTTAAATAATTTGTTATAGTATAAGTGAATGGAGAGAAACAAGATTTTATAATTCAGTTCCAATAGTATTTTAGTCAGTATTTACCTTCATGCTGCAAAGAGAAGAAAACTATTGACCGGCCCATATTCCACAACTTCTTAATTACTTCTAACATGCCCGAAAGTCTCAAGATTAGGTGTGGCATTTTAAATAAAACCTCTATTTCAATAGGAAGGCAAACACTCCACTCCTAAAACTACCTTACTGCTAATTAATGCTGGGAGATACTAAATCAACACATAATTAATGAGTTACTGCACTATATTAGTAGATGAGCTAGTCGTCCTGTTCGTGAATAGTAGAGTTGTCTCCCTTACTACAAAATTGTCGCCCAAAATTGCGTGCGGTAGAGTTGTGGCTGTGACCGTATGCGCCACAAGTGGCCCACAGGAATTGTTGTCTCACTGAACAGCCTGCATTTCCCTGGAAACGACCCCAGCTACTTTGTATGGGAATATGCTAGCATGACTAATGGGCCAGTACTCAAACATCCCCCTGATCATTTATTTTTCTTCTAGAACTTTCCACTCACATTTCATACGGGTCGGTCTCCCATATGCACCGACTGCACTATTGCATGTCGTGTTTGTTGGTTCAACATAATTGGGCACTATTTACTTCATTCTAAGCGCGCACATTCCAAACTCTCCTGACAGCTAAATGATTTTGCCAAGAAATTTGAGAAGAGAACACTAAAGTTTTCTCTAATAAAATAGCAACAATCTGACTTTCTGAACTCTGACCTCAACCCCCCCCCCCCCCCCCCACACACACACACACACACTTGACCTTTTACTTTAAAAAAACGTGTCGCGTTGTTCAGTATTATCTGGGGACGCGTCGTGCACTTTACGCTGATCAAACGGAGGGTGACGTCTGTTGTTAGCTGGTTTGTCTCCCCTTAGTAAATATTTCCAAAAGAAAAAAAAATCCAAAGTCATGTTTTCTGCTGTTGTGTAGGTCTGTTTTTTAAACCGCTAGAAAAAGCTGTGTCATTCTTACCAGTACCAAATTACCACCCAATTGACATAGTGCTGTGACTGCGATCGATGATCGAGTTCAACTTTTTGAAATACTACTAAATGTCACGTCTTGTTTTTGTCACAACGAATATGTGTTTGTTGTAGCCTTCCTGAACATTTTGGTGCCGGTTTATTTCAGTCATTGCCCCCCCCCCCCTTACCCCCCCCCCCCCCCCAAACACGTCCAATTCAAGAGTAAGGGACGACTTGGTTAAATGCAAGACGCGAGATTGTAAGACGTCCCTAAGTCCACTCTGATGGGTCCCTAACTCATCTTGGGGAAAGTAAAGGCGGCTGTGTATAGTGTGACCACACCATCCCTTCACATACCGAGGTCACAGAAACATGAACATGGATTTAAAAGCGTGTTATTATGTGTGTTTTTTTAAAATACATTTCTTAAATTTTAAAATATGCTTCACCCTCAGGATGAATGATTTCCCTTTACTCGACTCTAAACTTAAAACAAACACCAATTCTGGCGTGTGTAAAATTCACGTGGTACGACATAGCTTCAATAACTACTACACATATAGAACTAACTATCGCGAACTTGGTTAGAGTACATCCATATTTAACGTGTGCAGTAAAAATGTTTTACCCCCCCCCCCCCCCACCCACTCTTCGATCCTAGTCCGTATGAACGTCATAAGTATTGCTGATATATATATATATATATATATATATATATATATATATATATATATATATATATATATATATATATATATATATATATATATATACTTAGAAATAACACTGATCCATGAACACACTTGTCTCTATGATTGGTAGCTCTACATATTCCTCTGTACACATTCATCTTTACATATTCTCCTTGAATTTTTAGAGACACGTTAAGCTAGAGACATCATGCACATCTTTTCATACCGAGGTTCTATCTCCAGGGGGTCTACAGCTGCGTAGCTTAAAATTTTTCAAGTGGGTATTTTGTGTCACAATTACCTTGTAGGATACAAATCCCACCCTTTTAACACTCGCCTAACATACAGCTTTACATTTCATATAGGTTTTCTTGTGTAATATGTTGTTTTAAAAATAGATCATTAAGTCTTGACATGTATTCTCTAAATTTCCAACATTAAATAGTAAGAAGCAAAGTATCATGTAAGACACCTAGCAATAACATTCAGAAAATTCAGATAAGTGATGTATCAAAGACGACACGTAACTATAACATTCCGATAAGCAATGTGTCATGTACGACACTAACAATAACAATAAGCCAATTAAAGAATTTCTCTACCGGTTGACTAACAATTGATTTATCACGCATGCTCAAACACTATAATTATGTTAATTAACCAACCGTTTTAAATTAATATAAGTAAATCTCGGCATGTCTTTAAATTTGTGGCATCCAGTTCTGAGTTGAAGTAATCACACATGAATCAGTACCACGCTCTATATGTGTGCCGATCCAGAGGCGTAATGAGGGGGGGGGGGGTGGTACATATTCCCCGGGCGCCGACCCTAGGGGCGCTAAAATGGGTTGAAAAAAAAAATAAAAGCTTATTTTAACTGCGGTTTTGCATTATACATATAAAATATAGGGTGGGGGGAGCCAAATTGAAAGTTTGTCCCGGGGGGGGGGGGGGACGACGACGCTAAATTGAAAGTTAAGTTTCTGCCGGGGGGGGGGGAGGCGCCAAATTAAAGTTTGTCCCCGGGCGCCGGGAAGGGTCGCTACGTCTCTGTGCCGATCGATCAATGTCTCACTATCTGTGCTATCACCCACTGCCTCAGTGGGGGGTAGGGTGGTGATGGTCACCCAGTGTCCCAGTGGGGGTAGGGTGTGATGGTCACCCAGTGTCCCAGTGGGGGTAGGGTGTGATGGTCACCCAGTGGGGGTAGGGTGTGATGGTCACCCAGTGTCCCAGTGGGGGTAGGGTGTGATGGTCACCCAGTGTCCCAGTGGGGGTAGGGTGTGATGGTCACTTAGTGGGGGTAGGGTGTGATGGTCACCCAGTGTCCCAGTGGGGGGTAGGGTGTGATGGTCACCCAGTGTCCCAGTGGGGGGTAGGGTGTGATGGTCACACAGTGGGGGGTAGGGTGTGATGGTCACCCAGTGGGGGTTAGGGGTTGTGATGGTCACCCAGTGGGGGTAGGGTGTGATGGTCACCCAGTGGGGGTAGGGTGTGATGGTCACCCAGTGGGGGTAGGGTGTGATGGTCACCCAGTGGGGGTAGGGTGTGATGGTCACCCAGTGGGGGTAGGGTGTGATGGTCACCCAGTGGGGGTAGGGTGTGATGGTCACCCAGTGGGGGTAGGGTGTGATGGTCACCCAGTGCCTCAGTGGGGGTAGGGGTGTGATGGTCACACAGTGGGGGGTAGGGGTGTGATGGTCACCCAGTGGGGGTAGGGTGTGATGGTCACCCAGTGGGGGTAGGGTGTGATGGTCACCCAGTGGGGGTAGGGTGTGATGGTCACCCAGTGGGGGTAGGGTGTGATGGTCACCCAGTGGGGGTAGGGTGTGATGGTCACCCAGTGGGGGTAGGGTGTGATGGTCAGCCACTGCCTCAGTGGGGGTAGGGTGTGATGGTCACCCAGTGGGGGTAGGGTGTGATGGTCACCCAGTGGGGGGTAGGGTGTGATGGTCACCCAGTGGGGGTAGGGTGTGATGGGTCACCCAGTGGGGGTAGGGTGTGGATGGTCAGCCACTGCCTCAGTGGGGGGTAGGGTGTGATGGTCACCCAGTGGGGGGTAGGGTGTGATGGTCACCCAGTGGGGGTAGGGTGTGATGGTCACCCAGTGCCTCAGTGGGGGTAGGGTGTGATGGTCACACAGTGGGGGTAGGGTGTGATGGTCACCCAGTGGGGGGTAGGGTGTGATGGTCACCCAGTGGGGTAGGGTGTGATGGTCACCCCAGTGGGGGTAGGGTGTGATGGTCAGCCAGTGCCTCAGTGGGGGTAGGGTGTGATGGTCACCCAGTGGGGTAGGGTGTGATGGTCACCCAGTGGGGGCAGGGGTGTGATGGTCACCCAGTGGGGGTAGGGTGTGATGGTCACCCAGTGCCTCAGTGGGGGGGTAGGGTGTGATGGTCACCCAGTGGGGGGCAGGGTGTGATGGTCACCCAGTGGGGGTAGGGTGTGATGGTCACCCATTGAGTGGGGGTAGGGTGTGGATGGTCACCCAGTGGGGGTAGGGTGTGATGGTCACCCAGTTGGGGGTAGGGTGTGATGGTCACCCAGTGGGGGTAGGGTGTGAAGTTCAGTAAGGGCTGACCCTGAGAGACAAACACACACACACACTCGTTGCATAACAGGAACACATTTATTACACGCAGTCATGCGTAGCCACGTGGCGGCGTTACACGGAGTGACGTAAACAATGATATAATGTACACTGTTAAACCTTTTAGACGTAAACACTGATATACTATAAGCTACATAAAGATCGAAAAGGTGTATACAATATTTTTAAAATCTGGTGGGTTGCAGTGGCGGAACTAGAAAAAAAGGGCCACCCCGCAAAAAAAAAAAATTCTGGGCCCCCCTATATATATATATATATATATATATATATATATATATATATATATATATATATATATATATACGTATATATATGTATATATATACACATATATATACACATATATATACATATACATATATATATATATACGTATATATATATATATATATATATATATATATATATATATATATATATATATATATATATATATATATATATATATATATATATATACGTATATATATGTGTATATATATATATATACATATACATATACATATATATATATACGTATATATATATATATATATATATATATATATATATATAATATATATATATATATATATATATATATATATATATATACGTATATATATGTGTATATTATATATATATATATACATATATATATATATATATATATATATATATATATATATATATATATATATATATATATATATATATATATATATATATATATATATATATATATATATATATATATATATAAACACACAATACAAACATTGGATAATCATTTCTAGCCAGATCGAGTTTTGAAATAATTTTTTTTTTCAATTTAAACAAATTATAAAAATGTCATGTGTGTGAGTGTGATTGCATTAGTCTGTATAGAATTATTTTTTTTTTAAGATTTGGAATTAGTCTATTCAAAATGTTTCTGTAATAGTATTACTAATACTGCCTACTCTGCCCTATACGCTAGTTTTTAGCCAGTCAAAAGAATATAAAACGTGAAAGCTTTGTATGTGTAATGGTTTCTCGTGTTATGTTTATTTTTATGTGTTTTATGTATTTATATTATTTGTTTCAAATATATTTCCTTTTTATGCTATGTCATTCTTTAGTATGCATTTCTTAAAAAAATAAAGAAGTTATTGCTTTTTAATTTATTTAGTACAAATACATTAAAAGGAGCTTAGGATCGCCCCTATTTAGCTATTTTAAAAAGGGAAATAAGTCATGGAAGTGTTTTGAAAGTTTGCCTATCTTTCAAACTACAGCTCAGGCATATTTTTTTTTTACACAACAGCATGAGTTAGCTACTGTATAACATCACTACTGTAGCAGATCTGTTTGTTATTTACAAAAAGCTTTTACCGTCAAGTCAAAAATGCAAAAAATTTATTTTTTTAACTATACTATAAAAAATGTATTATGGTCGGCTATGGGCCCCTAAATGGCGTGGGCTCCCCCGCATTGCGGGGTCTGGCGGCACTGTAGTTCCGCCCCTGGTGGGTTGTTATTAAAATAAATATGGCTATAAAAAACATGACCGTTTGATTTTTGAGGTTTACTACAGCAGTGATTGTTCTACAGTAACTTAAAAAAAACAACTACATGAGCTGTAATGAGAAAGATAGGCAAACCTTCAAACCACTTCCATGACTTATTGCTCCTCTTAAAAATAGTCGAATAGAGGCTTATAGGGGGTGCCCATAAAAATACGTTTGTACTAGGCGAATTTTAAAAAAAGCAATGTCTTCTCTTAATTAATGTCAAAATAAAATATACTAAAGAACAGTAGTTATATTAAGGAATTTATTAAAAATTAATAATATACATGCAAAAAACGAATAAAACGAACACGGGAAACCGTTACACATATCAAGATTCCATGTTACATATTCTTTTGACCGACTTACCATGTATGCAGTTACACTTTTCCCAATTTGCAGCCGAAAAAAACTAAAAAAAAAAAAGAATTTACAAGATAACGATGTTTTTAAACACTATTAATTCAGGCCAAAGATGAGTTTGAGTCATTTCGCAATTAATTAGGTTAAATCACTAAATTAAGAAATAGTTTCAATTAAAAATGTAGTGAGACAGTCTACTTTATGGAGGATGCGCTAAAAAGACATTTAATACCACATGTCCATTTACACCTTCTCGATGAAATACAGCATGCGCCTCAAATGGGCCTCTGACCTCTCTAAGCAGTGTTTCTTCAAGACTTTTTTTCTCCGGGGGGGGGGGGGGGGGGCGGGCTAAAATGTCTATATAGATTCTATTTCGCTCGGTGGGGGGGGGGGGGCGATAGACTTTCTCCGGGGGGGTCTCTGCCGCCCCCCCCCCCCCCCCCCCCCCCCCCGAAGAGATGCCTCTAAGTTCATCAACTGACCTGCTCGCGTGGCTTAGGTTCTAAGCCCGGTGAAACCGTTTTTACTGACAGGTGAAAGGGTGATGGAGGACTAGAAGATTCCAAGCCCCCGCTGTCCTAGGGCTTCAGGAAACGTCAGGAGAGAAGCCCCCCGCTGTCCTAGGGCTTCAGGAAACGTCAGGAGAGAAGCCCCCGCTGTCCTAGGGCTTCAGGAAACGTCAGGAGAGAAGCCCCCGCTGTCCTAGGGCTTCAGGAAACGTCAGGAGAGAAGCCCCCCGCTGTCCTAGGGCTTCAGGAAACGTCAGGAGAGAAGCCCCCGCTGTCCCTAGGGCTTCAGGAAACGTCAGGAGAGAAGCCCCCCGCTGTCCTAGGGCTTCAGGAAACGTCAGGAGAGAAGCCCCCCCGCTGTCCTAGGGCTTCAGGAAACGTCAGGAGAGAAGCCCCCCGCTGTCCTAGGGCTTCAGGAAACGTCAGGAGAGAAGCCCCCGCTGTCCTAGGGCTTCAGGAAACGTCAGGAGAGAAGCCCCCCGCTGTCCTAGGGCTTCAGGAAACGTCAGGAGAGAAGCCCCCCGCTGTCCTAGGGCTTCAGGAAACGTCAGGAGAGAAGCCCCCCGCTGTCCTAGGGCTTCAGGAAACGTCAGGAGAGAAGCCCCCCGCTGTCCTAGGGCTTCAGGAAACGTCAGGAGAGAAGCCCCCGCTGTCCTAGGGCTTCAGGAAACGTCAGGAGAGAAGCCCCCGCTGTCCTAGGGGCTTCAGGAAACGTCAGGAGAGAAGCCCCCGCTGTCCTAGGGCTTCAGGAAACGTCAGGAGAGAAGCCCCCCCCCGCTGTCCTAGGGCTTCAGGAAACGTCAGGAGAGAAGCCCCCGCTGTCCTAGGGCTTCAGGAAACGTCAGGAGAGAAGCCCCCCGCTGTCCTAGGGCTTCAGGAAACGTCAGGAGAGAAGCCCCCCCGCTGTCCTAGGGCTTCAGGAAACGTCAGGAGAGAAGCCCCCCGCTGTCCTAGGGCTTCAGGAAACGTCAGGAGAGAAGCCCCCGCTGTCCTAGGGCTTCAGGAAACGTCAGGAGAGAAGCCCCCGCTGTCCTAGGGCTTCAGGAAACGTCAGGAGAGAAGCCCACGCTGTCCTAGGGCTTCAGGAAACGTCAGGAGAGAAGCCCCCGCTGTCCTAGGGGCTTCAGGAAACGTCAGGAGAGAAGCCCCCCCGCTGGTCCTAGGGCTTCAGGAAACGTCAGGAGAGAAGCCCCCGCTGTCCTAGGGCTTCAGGAAACGTCAGGAGAGAAGCCCCCCGCTGTCCTAGGGCTTCAGGAAACGTCAGGAGAGAAACCCCCCCGCTGTCCTAGGGCTTCAGGAAACGTCAGGAGAGAAGCCCCCGCTGTCCTAGGGCTTCAGGAAACGTCAGGAGAGAAGTCCCCCCGCTGTCCTAGGGCTTCAGGAAACGTCAGGAGAGAAGCCCCCCGCTGTCCTAGGGCTTCAGGAAACGTCAGGAGAGAAGCCCCCCCGCTGTCCTAGGGCTTCAGGAAACGTCAGGAGAGAAGCCCCCGCTGTCCTAGGGCTTCAGGAAACGTCAGGAGAGAAGCCCCCCGCTGTCCTAGGGCTTCAGGAAACGTCAGGAGAGAAGCCCCCCGCTGTCCTAGGGCTTCAGGAAACGTCAGGAGAGAAGCCCCCCGCTGTCCTAGGGCTTCAGGAAACGTCAGGAGAGAAGCCCCCGCTGTCCTAGGGCTTCAGGAAACGCCAGGAGAGAAGCCCCCCGCTGTCCTAGGGCTTCAGGAAACGTCAGGGAGAGAAGCCCCCGCTGTCCTAGGGCTTCAGGAAACGCCAGGAGAGAAGCCCCGTGAGGCGGTCATCAGCTCTGGTCTCTTGTCTACAGCTTCTGCAACTGTGTTGCTACCAAATGTATTGTCTAAAATCATTTTGGACTATCAAGAGGATACCCAAGAGATTTTCCTTTGATACTTTCACATCTACGTATGCGTCTTCGCGACGAAAACTCTGGTGCTTCAAAGCAGCTAAAACAACACGGGGGAGGGGGGGGGGGGTGTAGGCGACAGTCAATACGTAAAGTGTTTTTGTGCCTCCAACTAATGTTTCGTGGACGGGTCGTGTAGTCCATTTCACAGCCCTCAACCTGGCGGATCACGGCACAACGTTTGGTCTGACCCCGATCCACTTTGTGGGTGGGAGGATTTACATCATCGTCTTTGGTTTGGTTGGGGGGGGGGGTGTGAATTTACACCATCATCTGTTGGTTGCGTGTGTGTGGGGGGGGGGGGGGGGGGGGGAGGGGGTTACATCATCGTCTGTTGGCTGACGGGGGGTCAAAGTTTACATCTTGTTGGATGACGGTGACGGTTTGCATTATACATCAACCAAATAAACCACACAGTAAAAAAAAATCTAACTTCTACCATGCAAATTGTTGCACTGAGGTATTTCTCATCAAACCTTGAAAGAATAGAGATAACCTCGTTACCTGACAAATATCTCTGCCCACAATGGCAGATGGCAGCCAAGAAAGTCTTGACCTGAGCCAAATATTTGAACAGGATTACTTGAGGACCTAGGCCACACGAGGGCCTGGGCCACTTGAGGTCCTGGGCCATTTAAGGACCTGGGCCATTTAAGGACCTGGGCCACTTGAGGACCTGGGCCACTTGAGGACCTGGGCCACTTGAGGACCTGGGCCACTTGAGGACCTGGGCCACTTGAGGACCTGGGCCACTTGAGGACCTGGGCCACTTGAGGACCTGGGCCACTTGAGGACCTGGGCCACTTGAGGACCTGGGCCACTTGAGGACCTGGGCCACTTGAGGACCTGGGCCATTTAAGGACCTCGCCACTCTTTGGCAGGACCACTCAAAGACCTGGCCACTCTATGCTAAGACCACTTGAGTACCTTGCCACTCTATGTACAACTTTTGATGTCTGTTAACACAACATAACAGGACGGTTAAGTCAGAGATAACGTTTATCTTCCGTACAGGAAGGTCACGCGGGCTAATCGAGGGGGGGGGGGAGTAGGGTTGGGGGACAGTTTGAGAGGGGATACAAGGGGAAGGGGTGGAAGTGTGTGTTTGGGTGTTTGTACATTGGAGCAGAGTGGTGTGCGTGTGTGTGTGATTTGTGTGTGTGAGTGTGTGTGTTGTACAATGGAGTAGGGTGGGGGTAGAGGGACACACCCAGGTAAAGTCCGTGTGTTTGGTTCAACTGTGTACCAACGACGACTGACCTTGGTGGAGATATCGGGCGACAAGAAAACAACTTGAGTCAAGGCCGTTTGGGATCACGCCGATAGAAGGAAGGGAAGCGAACCGCGTCAAACTAAAGGGCAGTGAAGCCATAAATAATTTTTTTTGGAATAAAACAGACCGGCATTTACTGCCGAATAGGATGTAGTTCAAGCACAAGCTAATCAGGATCTACTTTACATTTTTGTCTCCTGTTTTTTTTTTCAGCAAAAGTTATGGGTATCCTATAAATGACGTCACACACCTAGGGAAAAGGGGTTTATGGTCACCATGACCGAA